AGACACGCTCACTTCTTGTAGCTGCATACGTCATGATTACGTGCGAGTTCCTGTCGAGGCCTCTAATAGGCGGCTACAGTCTCAGCTTCGTCCTCGAGTGATGGTTGTCGTTTAGGCGACACATATAGGGATATCCTTGCTAGGTAGTTTTGTGTGGGGACAGTACCAATGGCTGCAACTACTCCGGCAAGAAGTCTCCGAGGAGTACCGCCCTCGATGATTGCATACCTGGGTGAGGAAGAGGCCGCGAGAGTTGCCAACGCTCGACTGTTGGTGGTCGGAGCTGGTGGCATAGGCTGTGAGCTGCTGAAGGATCTTAGCATGATGGGGGTATATCAGTAAGGAACTGAGTCCACTTTGGTACGCTCCGTTGAGTAGGTCCGGAACGTGACCACCATCGACCTGGATACAATTGATGTTTCCAATCTCAATCGACAATTCTTGTTTCGGCGGCATCATGTGAACCGACCGAAGGCCGAAGTCGCCTCGGAGGCCGCCATGGCCTTCAACAAGGAGGTAAGGACGCATAGTCCTCTGAAGATAACGGAAATTGTCTGCTGTTCCTGAATGCTAGTGGAAGGGTCCTCCTCCCTTATGTCTCAGGTGAAAATTGATGGGAAGTTGGGAAACGTGAAGGACCCGCAATATTCCTCGACATTCTTCTCCTCTTTCGACGTGGTCCTCAATGCTCTCGATAACGTGGATGCGAGACGCCATGTTAATCGCCTTTGTTTGGCGACTAAGCGGCCGCTTATTGAGGCTGGTAGTATGAAGGTGTCTATCACTTCCTTATAGAAAAGCAGTGGACGGGAAAATGAAAACCCGGAAGCTCACTGTGCCTGTAGTTAATCCTCCATGTTAGGAACAACTGGATTCACTGGACAGTGTACGGTCATATATCCGCAGCAGAGTGAATGCTATGAGTGTGAGTCTTGGGGGAGATCATTTGGACAGTCGAGCATAGGAAGGCTGGTTGTAGGGGTTTGTTCCATACTCGAAACTTGCGTGAGGAAATTTCAGCATGATCAAATTAATCAGATTAACTACATGTAAGGTGTATTCTCATAGTCAGCCAAGGAACCGCTGAGTGAAGCGAACATATATTTCATCGCTGCTCGAAACTGTATCCGGCTCTCCAGTGTTATTCAAGTGGGGATCAGCAGTCTAAGGCGTCTATCGTTCAGGCACGAGCAAGGCTGCCCCGAAGGTTTACCCGGTATGCACTATTCGATCGACACCCTCAACCCCCGTGCATTGCATACAATGGGCGAAATTACTGTAGGGGCTTTTCAGGAGTGTGAGGTGATTAATGATTGCTGTTGGCTAGGTTCGAACTCATGTTTGGCATTGAAGATGACAACAGTGTGTTGGCCGATCTGAAGGAACCTCTCAATAGACTACGCTCTTCAGGTAGGTGTTGGAGCCTGCCACTGCTTCGTCAACAGAGAACATGGCTTACACCTCTCTGTAGCTACAATCTTACTCTATGTTCATCGCTTTTAAAATGGGTTATTATATATAGATATTGATTATATTATCGATCCATCGTATATTAGTACTATATATTGGAGTTTCACCTGTTTCACGTGAAGGAGCGTAATACTCGGTGAAAAACGCGATATTCGCGCTATGCAGTAGTCGTGAAATATGTTTTTCACAAGTGCTTTTCATATCACCGGTGAAACTCCATTATTAATACTTCCTATTGAGTATGCAATGTTGAATGACTAAGTCTTCGTCCCGTCAGATGATGACGCGTCGGTGAAAGAGGACGAGATACGACGAGAAGCTGTGGCTATCTTCAATCATCTCTTCTGCAATGACATCAGGTAAAGGCGTCAGGGTGGATGAGTTTCACCGACTGTTGTAGGTCTCAGCTGGAATTGACAAACCTCTGGGCTGACGGCAAGCGGCAGGCTCCCATACCACTGAGCTTCAACGAGGCGGTGGCGACAGGATCTGAGGAGGAGAAGGACGTAAGTGATGGACACTCCGATCCATGTTGACGTGTACAGTTATAGGTACAAGCGGTGTGGTCAGTGGCGAAGCAGGCTAGATTATTCGTGGACACGGTGAGTCGCATATTCTCTAGCAGAAGGGACGAGATCGGTAATAATAGGCGGTAGAAGGGTCTGTAGGATTTGCAGGGGTTCTGTGTATGCCGCGTTATCCGCTAGAACAGAGCAGTGTAGGGCATCCAGATCTGAACATGTTTTCGATGGACTCATGTGCATAACAGGAAAGGGCCATATATCATCTCAACATTTCATCTTTTCACTGCGAAAGCATCGCTCTTACTTGTGTGGGCGTATTCGTGAGGGAGCGAGAGGATATTGTGACTGGACGCTTTACCGTGGGGGTTCCGGGGATGAAGACGTCTATACAAAAACACCAGCTCTGTCTCTCGCAAGTTCTCCGCGATGGCCCCTCCTGCTGATGTATATTCATGTATCATTTTCGATCGCCTCCACCTGCTGTCGTGACAGGTACCATGGCCTTCAGCAAGGACGACAAGATGGCCGTCGACTTTGTTTGTGCTGCATCGAATATGAGAATGCACAACTACCACATACCGCTGCAAAGCCGGTGGTCAGTCGAGTCTATTGCTGGCGCGATTGTAGACGATTTGATAGCTCCTTTACTTGCCATATGAGGGTTGATTCAGGTACCTGCGGTTGCGACCACGAACTGTATTGTTGCCGGTTTGCAGTGTACCAATCTCCTTGCGATTTTGCGAGAAATTCCTCGGTGCGAGCAAGATCGCAGCAGAAAGTTCAGCCTGAGGGCATCAGGAGCGACCAACGTGTGGATCAAGTGAGGCCTCCTATGCTGGCCGAGACAAGCGAGATTTCAGATACCCAGATCCTGCTGGGAAGAACATCCTTGTTCCTGACGCGTTCTTGCCGCCTAACCCGGATTGTTACGTCTGTCAAAGCTCCTGGGTGACGGTAACCCTAAACGACTTGGGGTGAGTTATTTACTACCAGCGTGTTTGCGGTAGTGACGAGATGCATCTCAGAAAGTGGACTGTGCAGGACTTCGTGACGAAGGTGCTGAAGAAGCAGCTTGGAGCATCAGCCCCTTTTTTGGTCTTCCAAGGTGGCTAACGGGGCGGGTGCCTCGGCTGAGATCTCTCATGCGATCAGGTAACGTGATTTATGAGGTTACTACGGATGAGGACGAGGATGACGAAGATGAAGGTCTGCATCCGGAATGGTCGCTGAAGCAGTGGGATATCGTGAGTTTCGATTCGCTGATTTTTCCATCAGAAGCGTTGTTTAGGAACCAGGAAGCCTCATTGACGCCACTGACGATATGCAGTCATGGAGTACTCAGATTGTGCTACTCGAGGATCCCAGGTAGATTCGATCGGTCTTGTTGGCCTATCAGCTGTGCGCTCTTAGTATGAGTGAGGAAGACCATCCGGAGCTGTTCACTATCTCCCGCGGACAACAACAGGCTGCTTCTCCAACTGAGTGAGTCGGGCTTATATTGCAATATTGCTCATATTGCTCGGAAGGCGCTCGATTGGATTAGCATATAAGTTCTTGCGGTGAGCAAATTGTCGCAGTGTGTAGGAAACGAACCTTGGACGATGGTACTGTGGAAGAGTTGCCCAAGCGCAGGAAGCTGAACGATGAGAAGACTAACATTCACAACGGTCACTGAGATCCTGTCAGGTTGCTGAAGTTTCTATCGGTGATGAACTGATCTGAGTTGGAATGTCAATAACTGATGGGTGTGGTGTAAGAGACGAGGTTTGATTTAGAGCTTTCCCCGGCCCGACAGCTCGCGAGTTCGCTACTATAGTTTGTTTCTTGTCGGCTGTTGTGCCGGACTTACCGTCTAAATGACAACATTGAATAAACTCGGCATTCAGGGTATCAGATCGTTCTCATCGGAAAGGATCGAAGCTATCGAATTTGAGAAGCCTGTCACGCTCATTGTGGGCCACAACGGAGCAGGTATTATGTCCATGGCACGCAGAAGTCTCACATCACGTGTTGTCCGACACGTCGAAATGGTCAATCATCATGCGAACTAAATTTAAACTCAAACATCACTTTTCAAGGACATACCACTCCTTCGACAAATAGTACGACGAGTTATATTGCTGTCTGTCAACCAAAATACACCGTGGTTGTCGTCGTAGATGGTCTCTGAGAGGCTCAGGGGATCCCTTATAGTGGCAACCGCGTAAACCGATCATAGGGAGCATCTCTATTGCACCCAATCCCATCTGGACTCCTCAGGGAAGACGACGGTCATCGAGTGCCTCAAGATGGCTACCACAGGAGTGCTGCCACCTAACTGCGATAAGGGACACGGGTACAATCACCCTATGTCGCCATGGGCTTCGAGTTTTCCATTGTAGGTTTGTCTTCGACCCGAATGTTGCCGGAGTGCCAGAAGTGAAGGGGCAGATCAAGCTCATGTTCCGCTCTGCTGCAGCGAAGCAGGTATGAGGCCGTTATTCATTGTAGAGCATGGTGTCTTAACTAGGTGGTCATGTCCAGGATATTCCAGCTGACGAATCAACGCAACCGAGCTGGGGTATTGAAGACGACATTCAAGCAGTTAGAAAGCCTCATCAAGTGAGCGTAGTCATTAGGTCAATCCACGTCGTGATCAGCAACACCGGGCAGTCTCATTCTAATGCGAAGCGCGGACGGATAAGTCTATCTGCGAACTTATTTTGTATGTGTTGTAAGGGTTGAAAGTCAGCAGGATGTTTCAACCATATCGTCGAACTCCCTAATAGGGAGTCTCTATTAAAGGAATCTTCACACTGTGGTCAATATTGGATTTCTTTGACTACTACGTTTACCCTAACCTCCTCAGCACGCTGACCTGAGTACTCGGAACATGTATGTTTCCTATCCTAGGGTTAAAGGAGAGAATGGAGCTCCAACTCAGACTATCACTAAGAAGTGCGCTGATATGGACGTACTCATCCCTCAGCTCATGGGCGTTCCCAAAGCAGTAAGACGAGTGCTGGCTCTCACGCCCATCTCGAAACCGCCAGGTTTTGGAAAATGTCATATTCTGTCACCAGGAGGACAGTAATTGGCCTCTAGCGGACAAAGCGGCTCTGAAAAAGAAGTTCGATGATATATTCGGATCGGCTAGGTGAAGACGGCTCGATCGAAATTTCAGATCTTGCTAGGTGGTATGTATTGGCAGGTATACGAAGGCGCTAGAATCGATTGAGAAGTGTAGGAAGGAGCTGATGGCCGAGACGAAGGATAAGAAGCACCTGCTGGAAATGCTTGGGAAAGTGTGAGGGGCTCACCCGGTGCGGATTTGACGTGTATCGCAGGATTGCTGCTTTTGCTAGGACTATGAAGGAGCTCGCAGTCTAAAGGCACAGCTGGAAATCCTATCCCAAGAGGAGGGCCGTCTTTGCGACGAAGTCGAGGACATGAACACTAAAATTGATCACGCACAGGTAAGTTTCTCATGGTTGGATTCGCAAGCTGAGATATAAAGTCAGGGAGAACTTCGCGAGGCTGTCGCAGAGGATGCCAAGATGAGAGACGCCCAAGTCAAATTGGCTGAGAAAAAAGTGGGATTTGCACTTCCATCGGACATCGCAAAATCCCGACTCATACTTGCTGAAAACGCAATGGTCATCCGACTCTCCAGCTCGTAGGTTTTGTTTGTCCTGGAGAGAGCTACTGCTGAGAGTAAATTGCAACCTGCGGTGTCTCCGCCGCTCATCGTAATGGCAAGAAGGACGAGGGCTTGAATGCAAATTCCTCATCGTTGAAGGTCGACAAGAAGTCGACCTTCAATCCTCTCGTATTAGAGTGCTCTTTGGAAGTCCGGTCCTCCGCGACTTGGTAGCTCGCAGTTGATTCTGAAGAGTAGATAGATTACAGGGAACTTCCAACCTTCTACTCCGCAGAGTGACTGGTGTTTTCTTTCTCAGGCTATTATGCAACGGCTGCAGAATGACATTGCCACCTTGAGAGGTTCACTACCGGAGGTCTTCGAGGATTCTCTCAGCGTTTTGGAAGCGACACTGACCAACGAACTTTCGGAAGAAGTGAGGCTCTTGCTTTGGCTGTACAGCGAAGTGGGTCGGTTCAGTTCATGACGGGATTGCGACGGGCAGTTGAAGGTTCACAGAGGGCGCTTGAGGAAGGGGTGGAAACTCTCAGAGAACGAAACGTGAGTGGATACTCTTATTCTATCGAACCGCAGGCCGCCCCGCCCGACGTGTTCTTGTTGGGTTTGTTCACTACGGCATGGTGTGGCTTATAGGCACAGACCCGAGCAATGCGAGTTGATGCAGGAGAAGCAGCAAACGCTCATGAGCTGATGGTTATGAGACAACAGGAGTTGGATCATAAGCTGGCGACGTTGAAGGATCGAGGACTTGTGAAGGGGGATGCATCACAAGGTATGGATGTCCATCGTCTCCAGCGGGAGCTGACGCGAAATTGTTATTGGACCCCTGTTCTTATTACTTGCCGTGGTTAATCGCACTCTAATCTTCGGTGGTTCATCATCGTTTGCTCGTGAGAGTTCTACTCGCGTGGCTGGCGCTGCTCGAAGGATATCTCGTTCTGATGACATTGTCCATCATCTGTCCGGAGGCGCATCGTGCAGCCTCGTATCTTTGGACGATGTCACCACGCCAACACTGGTGGTCAATGTTGCCGAAGAGACATGTGTGGTGTAGATACGCTTCTGGAGTGTTTGCAGTCCTCAATAGTGGAACGGGTCAAGGAGTCACGACGAGCGCTTGAGGCTTGTCGAACCGAAGAGGAACGAGCGGAACAAGAACTAGGTAAGATAGGAATCAGCCTCAATCACGATGGTCTTGCACTGCGCGCTGTTTGATCGGCCACATCAGGGCTTTCGGCCGGTCTCGCCTGTGAGCTTCTCACTGCTTGTGTTATTTTCAGCACGGAGGGAGTCGCTCTGTCAGAACCAGCGACAAGTACTGCAAAGCCTCGAGTTCAAAAGCTCCACGCTTGAACGTACGAAGGCGAATTCCGGTCAGATGCTCTCAGAAGCAAAAGGTGATTGCGCTGAAGCCAGAGCAGTCGAGAAAGCATCTCAATCGTTTTTAGAAACAGAAAGAGAGATAAGTGAAGTGGAACGTAAAATTGCCTCCACGAGCAATAATGCTGAGGCATCGGCTCGCCTCCAGGAGATCGAGCAAGCTCTTCGGAAACTGATGATAGAAAAAGGCGAGAATCAGCGAGAAGTGAGCCAACTGTCCTGAGGGGAATGCTCGATTGCAGTTGCCCGAAAGACCAAAATGGTGGTCCCTAATTTTAGTTGGCACGAGCGTTGGAATCTGTACAGAGGCTCAATCAAGACAGTGGTGTCGCAACAGAGGCTGAGGTGAGAGCTCAGAGCAACTCTCTCCGCTGAGGGTCGTGAATGGATAGGTCCTCAGCCGCAATGTTGAAAGTCTTCGGTTAACCATGCAGAGGATTATAAACGAGAATCCGGGGTTGGATTCAACCAGGTGAGGAAATTTTTTGTTCTTTGCCAAGTTGCTAATGGCCGTAAGCCTAGCCCAACTGACGGAGTAGCTTGTTCCGTGTCCTGTCTCAGCCCTCGAGACGCTCAACAAATTCTGCAGCGTTCCATTGACGCCGCTCGGGCTCAGAAGAACTCCGCAGGAGCCAAGCAGAAAGAAGTGAGATCAGCTGTGACCTTAGTTGGACCGATTCACGCTCACTTGAGGCCATTTCGACGAGGGCAGCGGCTTCGGCTAGAGTGGAGCTCGAGAGAGGGCAATTGAAGGACGCTGAAGACCAGCTGAGTATCTATCAAGGTGAGCGGAGGTCTTTCAATTCGGCGAGGTCGGGGTGAACTTGTTGTCCATGCGCATACTGTAGGAGATCCCTTAATCAAATACGAGGTCTCTCTCTTTGAGCGCAACGGTAAATGAGGGAATTTCTTTATACAGATAGCTGCAAAGAATTCGGCAATGTCCGAGAGTTTTATAAGTCCGCACAGAGAAGGTTGGAAGAGAATCAGAAAGAGTATTATTTGGTAGAGGCCGGCTCGGAACTGTAGGCATATTTCTGAAGCTAATGCAGTGTTTATCTCCGCGACCTTGGGTAGGTATAAGTCTATCCAAGCACGTTCGTTGAAGCGACATAAATGTCAGCTGTGTAAAAGAGGCCTCTCGTCGCAAGGCGTGGTGGATGACCTCAACTCGACAGTGGAGAAGTTTGTGGAACGGGTACCGGAGATGCTGGCCGCGCGGTCTCGTATGATAGATGAAGCCAAGAAGGAGATGGAAGGTAAGACGTGTTCGTGGAAGTTTACTGCAGAACTTTTTTTGCACTAAATTCAATGGAATTTTCGCGCTTGAAAGAGTCCTGGCTCTGAACCGGACCCATTTCATTTTCTACTGCGAAAGAGAAAATAATTTTCTAAGGCAGCCGTTTCATCTCAGCCGCAGAAGCCCTTCTCCCTGATTGGGCGGCGCTAGAGAAGTTGCAGTCGACTACGATTCCTGATGTTAATGAGCGGGTACAGGTTGCTGTTGCTCTGCTCGTGTATGAGAGACCCTCGCAGTTACGAGAGGCGGAATCGAATCTCAGGCGGATTGAGATGGAGGCGGATAGGTCCTTAGGACGACTATCAGCTGCGGAGAAGGAGGTGCGTGGTGTCGTGATCAAAAACAGTATGAACCCGTTGGTTATTGATATCGTTATCAAGGGCTATCATTGCTACACCCTTGCCGTGCGATTTTGACGAGTTGACACGCAAGAATGACAATATTTGTCTTGAGACTTGCAGTAGAAATTCATTTTGACACACCTTCAGAATGAACATTGAAAATTGACAATACGAGCTCCAGGAAAAGGTGTAGTTCACGGCTCGTGCATTAGTTCGTTCTACTTGAGTGAGGCACTAGCTAGATTCAACTCTCCACGAAAGTAGATATCACTGTCACTCAGGTAGTATCGCTGTCATCGCTACAATCAGCAGCAGCACGACTGGCAGCAACGGCACACCAACTGGAGACAGCTGAAAAGTCCTTGCGATCGGCTGAGTCGCGGCTGCAGGAGGTTTCAGCAACAGGTGAGCTATTAGTAGGAGAGATTGCGCGACTGGTTGGTGTCTATAGAACCGACGATAGGTTCGAATCTCGTCCAAGAGCGGCGGAACGTCGATGCCGCACAGAAACGGATGATGCGGCTTGATGAGGAGGAGAAGAGCTTGCGAGACGAGAAGGATAAGTTGGTCGAGGGACACAGCACATCCCGTGTGGAGAATGAGAAATTGAAGGTTAGTAGTTTGCGCAAGTTCGTTCCACGTTGCATTCTTTTCGAACTTGATGATAGTTTGGAATGTGTCTCAACGTGATCGATTGTGGCTATTCCGCCCGTCCATCAGGGTAAGCTGACCTCTCTACGAGAGCGGCTCGGGCGTATTCGAGACGCTGAGAGTGAGGGGACGCGCGCCGCCGAGGAACTTCGAAAGCTTGACGAGCAGATGGATGGATGCCGCGAAGAGCTGGTGAGTCAGAGTGAATCGCATATTGTTATTTCTCTCGATTTAGGGAAGACTCAACGAGGGGGTGGAGACGGCCCGTCGCAAATTTGCTGAAGTTCGGAATTCTTCTCGAGAGGTCGTTGAGAGTAAAGAGCAACGGGTTAGGGAGGTGATGAGCGTGTGGGAGTCCGGATCTCTCGCTAGCGGGCCCCCCAGGTACAGCAAGAGATTGACGGCTCCAGGCAGCTCGTAAACTCTATATCAGCGTTGAGAGATAAATCACAAGTGAGTTCTCGTTTGTGCTCATAGTGGGCCTCGGTTTCGCAAGAGTGATTGTCACTGATCTCAGAAGTCGTCGGAGATTCAGCGTAAGTTCGCGGAGGCAGAGGCGGCGGAGCGAAGCGCCACGGACACTGTGGAGGAACTCCGTACCAAGCGAGGCCAATGCGAAGGGGAACTCCGGGAGAAAGAGAGATGCCGAGAAGAAGTCGTGCAGAATATCAAGGTTGGTTTTTTTCATTCCCCATCGCTACGCTTGTCGGGGATGCCGGGGTCCTATTTAGCTGAAGTCTCTGCAGCGAGAGCTGTCGGAATTTGAGCAGGAGGTTGAGACGCTGCAGCAGGAATACGGTGTCGTTGACTTCGCGGGAAAAGCGAAGCAAGTTGAGGATTTGCGATCTTCAGTTTTGGTGGGTCTATCTATTATCACGGATGAGCTGATTCCTCGGTTCTAGAGTCTGCGGGAGCATAAGTCTAGAATTGAAGGGAAGGTTTCTCAGCTAGTAGACCAGCAAAGAGCAGTTTCTCATCAGCTCGATAGTACGACTGATCCACACCGTAACAATTGTAGTAGTTGTGACTAGGTTCCCTTTACAAAAACATCGACGACCGGCATCGCTCCGCTCTGATCCAGCATGAAGTGTCTGCTATGGCGACTCAGGATCTCTCTCGCTATCATTCTGCGTTGGACAAGGCTCTTATGAGGTAAGCCCACTAGTGCAGTCGCTTCCTCGGCTCTTACTGTTGAACCCATTCCCACTTGATGGTGGTATACGCAATCGAGCAGTAGCTTCCGTTATTGAGCTGCATTGGTGTTATCGTTCGACCTCCATTGACTTCTCTACATCGCCGTTTCCTCGTTGGATATCCTCCTTCCCGTCAGATACCACGTCTCCAAGATGATGGAGATAAACCGAGTTATCAGAGAGCTGTGGCAGCAGGTGATTGTTCAGCATATGTGGAACTTCTGGTGAGCGTGAGATATGCTTTTCGAGGTCTATCGAGGCCGAGACATTGACTATATAGCAATTCGTTCCGACACTGAGGATGGTGCCGCAAATGTCACCAGTGCCACGAGGCTGCGAAGCTACAATTACAGGGTTGTAAGCTGCTAAATATGCATAGGGGATCACGTAACCAATCATCCACTGTTCAGGTCATGACGTGCCAAGGAGTCGAAGTTGACATGAGAGGCCGATGCTCAGCTGGACAACGAGTTCTTGCGTCTTTAATAATTCGCCTAGCGTTGGCCGAGAGTTTCTGCTGTAACTGTGGTATTCTAGCACTGGATGAACCGACGACGAATTTGGATTCCACCAACATCGAAGGGCTGGTAGGCGGCAGACTGAGTGCACTATCGTGAAGGTGTTCCGTGTATGTCAGGCCGATGCACTTGCTGATTTGATTGAGACCAGGCGAAACAGCTCAAACTTTCAACTGCTTCTCATCACGCACGATGAAGAATTCGTGAGGAAGCTCGTGACCGGTCCGACTCATCCGTGCGATTACTATTATCGGGTTGCTAAAGATAACGAGGGATTCAGTTTTATTAGACAGTGCAATGTTATAGATCTACAATGATTGTTTCATGCTTTCCGTTGTGTAGTGTACTGAGTACTCTGCCATTCATGTTGTTGTCGAAATAGATACACTCAAGTCGAACGACGTTGATCGGTTGACTCAAGAGCATAAGATTACGCGACTAAGCCCTCGCCTAGATTCAAATCGGGTATTTCCGTTAATAAAACCCTTCTGGCACGGGAGTGTGGGTGAGGAATCACGTAGCGGCAGAGAAGCACCAACACGAAACCCGGAGCCGGCAGGCCCGCATTATTGGCGCTGCGCCACCGCGACGTGATTGATGTGTGAGGCTGACCTTCACACATCTTCCGGGTCGGGAGGGTTGGGTGAGAAGAACCAGAGGGTTCCATCACTGTACTGTAACAGTGCACGCCGCAGCATATTGCTACGCCACAGCGACACTCATCATGAAGGAGAGTGGTTGATCATATCAACTTGCTCTGCACGCAGGCGCACGTATCTTACGGGTATGAGTCTCTATCGTCTGCGTGCGGAGACGGACGCTTCATAATTGCGTGCTAGGGGACACTCCCTCAGTCCGATCAGGTTTTACTCACGCGACACAAAGTTTGCTATCATTTTGTTGGACGAAATTGTCATTAGTCATTTACGTGATGGATGAAGGTGAACACGTACATATGTAAGTTGTTCTCAGTTCCGATGGACGTAATATGTCTACCTCGAGGTACGGGTGGCCCTTGATGGCTCCCCGCTACTGCATGGGATCGATCGTGGGTATAATGGGGCAAATCCATGGTTTTTCAGGCATGCACAAATATCATCGTACTAGGTTAATACCACATACTTACAACGTCGTTTTTATACAGTTCGAAACGTATAGAAAATGATCTTGCTATTCTCATTCACATCGTGTTGCAGAGATAAATTATTCCTCTTGTACTTCGAAGGTTGTTGAGGCGAAAGATTCTTCATATCCTCCTCTTCATGGAAAATCAGCTAACCAAAGATTTCCATGGCGTTTGAAACAGAAAAATTCGTATTCATATCATCTCATGGAGGCTTTGGAATAGAAAGGAAAAATTAAAAATTTCGTCAAACTCAATCATGCACTCCACTTATCAGCATCAATCAGCTTCTTCACTTTACCATGCGCCTCGTCTACTAAAGCACCACGAATGGATTTGACGTTGCAGCACGAGCCGAACATTTGCGCGATGAAACGCGCCGCATTTCCAGGACGTTGAACATATCTGATCGAGACAACAAATATAAAAACCCACCAACCCGAAGGAAGAGAGTTCCTTCGCCGCTACATGTTCAACAGTGAACTGGTACAACAACTGACATCCATAATCCCACCTACACATTGCTGGAAAGCGGAGGGTTTCCAATACAGGATGGGTTGTGAGGGTCAGGAGGGCATGATACCACAGGCCAGACCGATAGGAAAGAGGCAGTGCCGCTCAGCGCATCCGTGCCACCCGCAGAGGCAATGATAGCCATTGGCTCGATAGATTTGTTATACCTGAGTCGCAGCTAACAACATCTACAAGTGTCACGTCGTACATCTGCAAAGCAGACTCCAGTCTTGTCGGCTGCTTATGGGCTGAACAAATCCTGTAATGCGATGGGATACCGTACCTATCATGGAGATCACATCACAAAAACATTAAAAGACTCTACTTGGTAAGTTCAGTTTGGCATTTATCGATGTGAGGTTTATCAGAGTCACTTCCAGCAAAAACCGCGACACAGCAACCTTTAATCTGCAAGAGAACCGAGCGTGGCTGTAAGCGAACTCGGGATTGAAGGCATACGAATCCATGGTGCCTCAAGTTACTGCAGACCCGCTCTTCAGGAGTCATCTTAACTGCTTTCGAGGGCCATCCGAACGGTTGTCCAGTCACCCGCTCGCACACAGCAATGTACCTGAACAGACATGGGATGACGCCATCCATAATAAGGTACCAGGCCGGGCAAGTTACCGGTAGGCGCATTCGACAACATGCTCGTTGGAGAGCTTGGGCACAGCCTTATCGCGATCCGGTTTGAAACCCATATCGAGGAGAGCATCTCTAACATACTGCTTCGAAAACTCAGCCGGTTTCAGATGGGGATGATCCTTCAGCAACTCCGAAACATTGCGGTAACTATGAACGACAAAATAGGTCAACTGTCTCTTCGTGATGCATTGACATCAATTCCTAGCCAGGGGCGATAAAAAAGGCCGGGCGACCATTAGAAGGAAGACGTACCATCTAGCCCATGAAGCATCGCTTTGAGCACTCCTAGCCGAGTCAAGCCTACTCGATGGATTGGGAAGGTGTACTCGCGCTTTCCCGAACTCACTTTCCGTCGTTCATGAGCTTTTCAATCTGTGGGAATTTACTCTCCCACTCCTTCACATCACACATGCGAGAGGAATCGGGAGTGTTGACCTTGACCAACAAGCATGTGATACAACAGCTGTAGCTCTCACCTCGTCAATGACATGCAAAACACCGTTTTCATCGACGCCAAACTCATACTTGGTGTCAAGAAGAATCAAGCCCCTGTCCCGCATCAACTGAGCTCCTCTCTCATACAATCTGAGTGATTTCGAGTAGGATTCACCCCGAAGCAATTGAACCCACTTGAAAGACAGTTCCTTGATCTGACGGGCCACATCGGCGCCGCAATACGATGCCACCTGAAGAACTTTCCCGAATAAGCAAATAGTTACTCTCATACCTCCTCCATAGTCATATTCTCGTCGTGGCCAACTTCCGCTTTGGTGGTAGGAGTAAAAATCGGTGTGGGGAGCTTCTGAAACCTGTGCAGCGCTTACACCACGACTCACCCCGTTTCACGTGAACCAACCTGATTAGGCCTTCCTCCAGCTTGAGGCCACAAAAAGTACGATCGCCTTTCTCGTACGCGGCAGCCATGCTCCCTGACACCAAGAAGAACGAACAACATTCAGTCGGCTTCAAAGGCCCAGAACTCACCCCAGAGATAGCCTCTGACGATGCACTCGACTCCGACATTCTTCATTTTCTTCTGCACAACGACAGCGGGGTCCACCAAATTGTCGCCAACCATAGCATTGGGTACCTAGGAGGATCGGGCCCATGCACAAGAAGAACAGTTGATGCTCACAATATCCTTCGTCGAGTTCATAGCCCACTGCGAGATAGTGTTCAACACCTGACCCTTGAAGGGAATAAGATTCGGCAGAACGTAGTCGAATGCAGAAACCCTGAGAGATCCGAGACGACCAAATCAACTGGAGATCCATAATGGATGTATCTCACCTGTCGTTAGTAACCATAACCACGTTGGCATCGGTAAAATAAATCTCACGGACCTTTCCCTTCATCGGCATACCAAGCTCAGGAATGAAGCACTCAGCCAATGTGTTGTCCAAATTCTCCTCAATACGAGCCTTGTAATCCTCCTTGTTGGTCACTGCAGAAGCCATGGGTGGGAGACAGAAAACTCTGACCGGTTACTATACAAAGGCGAACGATGAAGACAACCGTTGGGCAGCAGTGGAGACAATTCCGGTCACGGTACAGTTGAACATGCTCATCATCACCCAGTCGGATCGCTGCAATGAGTAAATCGCATCAGGCCGAGTTCAATGGGCAGAACGATCAGAGTTCCTTGGGCTCGTGTCTCTTATGATGACGGTGGAAGCGAGCACACCACTGTCCAGATCAGTGCTCATAGGACGGGACGATTGCCTGAGAGAATAGAGCGCGTGAAATGATGGCTGAATACCTCCTACTGAGGGTTATTCACCGCATGGGTACTCCCACCTACCCAAGAGATGCACAGCCATGAACAAGAAGACGAGTTGGACTCACCAATTACCGCTGAAGCTCCCCAATGAACGCTCCGACCACTTATACGAGATACCTAGGAAAGGATCGTGGCGGGCAAATTATCAAGTTCGAGGAAAGTCACATGTTCATTAGAGTCATCCTGAGGAGAGCCCGAATGTGAACCTTCATCACATAGCTCAGATACCTGCATTAACAACGAGTTCGTGAAGTACGAGAGGCGTTTCGGATTTATGATGGCGCGCGAGATTCGCAAGCATTCGTTGCGAGAGATGACTTGCACGCATGCACACGACTGCGATACATACATCGACATTAGGAGTGATAATCTTCATCATAGTGTTCGACAGACTTAGCCTCCGTGATGGTCTGTCGAGCGTCCTCGAGGGTCCCTCGAAACGCCTCCTTATGTCACGGTCGGTCGTGCGTATGCTCGGATGTTCAGCGCGATAGTCGTATTCCATAGCCGCTAAGCGCGACTTGAACAAGTGCCTCACGTCGGTGAGCTCGAAGTGGGCCCCCTCAGCAGAGACGCCCGCTCTCTCCATCATGTGCTCGGTGACGTCCTTCTCGTAGACTAGACTGATCAACGCACTCGAGAGATAGTTACACAACATAATTGGAAGAACGAGGGAGTAGACTCCGGTGAGCTCGTAAGCTATGACAACGGCCGTGATAGGAGTGCGAAACCACGAAGAAAACATTCCCGTCATGCCGAATAGAACTCCTGTTTGGTGAAGGTATCGAACGAACGAGGGGGACCTATAACGATAACAAAACCAAGGAGAGGAGGAACGACAAGGTACGATATAAGGGTACATGCCAGTGGCCTCGCCGATGGACCTCGCGGCCGACCCGATTGCTGAGCCGAGGTACCCTCCAGTAACCAACGAGGGTGTGAGCAGACCAGCCGGAACTCCTATAGATGTTGCCATGCTCGCCATGAACAAGCGGTAAACGAACATCATCAGCTGAGCGGAGCGAAGCACTTGAACATGCGTGATATTTCGCAAGTTCTCACAGGTTTTCCGAACCCATGAGAGTCTACTGGATCCTTGAGTTGCTCCTCCAGACCATGCGTGCCCAGGCCATAGACTTCACCATGGTAGTTGGTGAGATTATAAGTTAACTGCCGATCTCCTCCGAGTCAGCATGAGCGACAACCTTACACAGGATAGCAAGGCTCCAACGACTCCGTAGATCGCGTAAGGCACAATGAGGAGGTAAACGGAGTGGTCGTCAGCACCGATCTGAAAATCCAGGATCGGTGACAGTCAAATCGATCACTCACGGCGTCGTCGTTGGACGATTCCACTCCCGCCCACGACACAGCCTTTCTATTTCTCCGCGGCCTCAGGGCCAAGATAGCTCGCAGGTGCTCATCCAGCTTGAAAAAGATCTTGTTCCTATCGATGGTTGACGATATTCACGCAAATCAAACAGGGACACATCTCAGATGCATTCAAGCTTACATCCTCAGAGTCGCAACAGTGTACAGCCACCCTCCGATGAAAGTGAAAATTCCAACAATTGCGGAGTAGATGACGAAATAAAGTTCTTCCTTCTGGCCGTGGATGTCAAGGTCGAGTATATTATCGATTCGGAAAGGCTCGAAACGATGCATTAGTGTTCGTGCTAACAGCGTACCTTACATAACAACAACCATGGAATAAGTTCGGGCACTTCAGAGCCGATGAAAACACAGTAGGAAGATCTGTTACTGACAACACTAGCCAAACAGATTTGAGTCATAACTCTTCTACTAGTAAGCTGCAGTATCTCTTCCAGAGCAAAGGTTACACCTCGAAAAGACATTTTCAGAAAACGCTGAGGGCGACGATCGAGGTTCACCCGCAATTGGAGTATCGAACGCTGCCGCAATCCCCGTTGCAGCAGCTACGACTTGTACCGCTGACTGGAGATCTCTGTTGCGTGTAATTTCCGCCTTCAGAAAAGGGCTGATAGGAATCCGCACAAATCCGTCGAGAAGTTATCCAGAAAGAAGTAGTCGAAGAAAATTCGAAGCGTGCCTATGCAATGGTACTGAGAACTCCGATGAGCTCAAACTCCTTCCTAGTTCAATGCGGACTATATGGGATGTAGGGTACTGGAAGAACCTTGTCCTGTACTAGACGAGTATGGCATACCATGAATAGTTAAATGCCGTCCGGCGATTACTCACAGTCCCATATTTTATTTTTTACGAAAACTATAGTGACGCTGTACAAGCAGTAATTCGCTAAGCGGAGCCTACCACATGATCAGCGCAACTGATGCCGTAGCCGCGGCGATATGCACAGCTGGGCCCTCTAGCCCCATAGGAAAGCCTGCAAGAGTCAAATGAGATTGTTCATTCGAGGGAGCTAGCTTTGCAACAAGAACGCTACGGTGAAATAACGGTAGTAACTGGACATAGGTGGAATCTCTACCTGTGTCCAGGTACTACAGAGTCTATAGTAAAGATAAACAGAGCAATTGATGATAGACATCTTTCCGCAAATGTCTGCAGTGCAGACACCTCACCTCCGGCCACAATGATGGTTGCGAGAATGATTCTTAGAGGGATGACGCAGAAAGGTATAACATGACCGTTCGTGATGGACACGCGCGTGTTTATCAAACCGCCACCTTGAACTGGATCTCTAAACCTAGCCGGAGCGAGCTGAAGACGAGCTATGATAGGACTGGAGCTGAGTCGAGACCCTTACACCTAGGAAAGCGCCGGTAGCAAGGGCGGCGCCTAGCATGATCGCGGAGACGATCCATGGGTTCGTATCCGCCAGCACAGAGCTGTCCAACGGGCAGTGGTTGATGCCCATGAAGCAGCCACCGTAGCTGTGGACCGAGGTGAAGGCGCGTCCATGGATGGCGACTCACTTGACAGATCTATCGAGGGCGTATATCATCAGACAAACCAGGCATGCAACGCCTATGCTACCGACCAGGACGAGACCTGAGAATGAGCACTCAGAGGCACGACGAGAAGAAGCTTGGGTACGACGTCAACAATGACCACGAACGCGCGGCTTACCCACGTAAGTGTGTTCGCCCATATACTTCCGCCACCAGACGCGAGATTCAAGCAGGGACATTCCTAAATTACGGCGAGAGATTTCAGTTCTGTGACGAGACCGCTCAGTCGAGCCTGGCAGATGCCTTGCCCCCGACAGAGGCTTGGTGGCAATCTGAGTAGCGGTACTGTGGCATGCTAAAAACTACGCTGTATCGCACCGCTATGCGCGTCCCTGGTTGGTCGTTTTCTTCCGCTTCATTTCGTGCGTTAATTACAACTGCGATATCTTGGCCGTCTAACACACGGCCTCTATGACTCGAGGGAGCTACTGGCACCTACCCACGAGTTCCTCTGACCTCGACTCCTTGTGAGCTAGGGGAGCGGTCATATAGGACCAAGCGACAACAAGGCTCCGAGGCACAGACGGTTTAGTACCCTCCCGTGATTGCCCGTTCGAGGGTTTTCCGGTTTTTTTCATTTTTCAAGGGTTTTACCCTAAAATTCGGTGGGTTTCACGCTGAACTCTGAGCAACGGCATGAGATCGTTACACGTCCATGCTCGCTAGCTATAAAGGGATAGACTCACAAAGTGCATGCAAATGTACTGCGTCAATGAGGTGCGGATTTAAGCTTCTACCCGAACTTGAATTACCCAACAGAAGGGGTCGTTCAATAAACCGATTTCGAAATTCTGAATCGCTTCTTACACGTATAATACGATGCTAGGACCAATTCTGACATCCAGAAAATATAAAATGAACAAGAGGAAAACGAGCGTTTCGTTTCTCGCGCGCCCAGTATTTTCCTCTCTCTCTGTTGCCTTGGCATTCCCCGAGACTCAAAGATTGAAGTTTGTAAAATGTTGCGCGGTTGCCTCCAGCATCTGAGCGAGATTTCCTCATTCAGCGCAGTACAGCCTGCACCCTTCTCCATATTCACTGATAAGGCTATGGTCATGATCAAACCGACACCGGTAAGTTACGCAACTCAGTGAATTACATATTCATCGTGATAGAAGTCGTATAAAATACTAAGTCGTTTATATCGGGCTCGGTGCATTAGGACCCAATCGCATCAATCGGCTCTACCAACATTAGATTTGCCCACGATATGGTATGAGAAATTCATCTTCGTCTCGTGAGTGTAGCCGCTCCAATTGCGTCAAATCCTAGGCCGTCGTCCAGAGGATCAATGGCGAACTCAAGGTGAAGACTGAAGGGAAGCTGTCTTGGCTCTTCATGAACAAGTCTGCCGAGGGAAGCACTGGCAAGAGTAAACAACGAGTGAAGAAGTTCGATCCGATTTCATTGCTGGTCCTCTCAGCTTACGATAAGCAGTCGTTGCTATCCATATCACTTAACGCTGCTAAGGCTGCTGAAATCTTGACACTCTCACCAGCTGCTGGTGGTACTATAAGTAAGGGTGTCCCTATAACTCGCTTCTCAAATTCGTCGAGTTCGTAGATCCCAGTGCCTTCTCCAAGGGAGGGCCCCAATCTCTCTCCTTCTCACCGGTCACCAAACCCGCTGATGGGGAGACCGAGGCGAAGCAGGCGGTTCATATTGTGGCCACCGTAATACTAGTGTTAACAGCAACGATAATTTCGTGTTCGACTAAGTCACCTCCGGAATTTGTACATGCTCGTTTCTCGTTCTCCAGTGCTCGCTCCGTGACTCTTGCCTTGCCCTGTGGCATTCTGCACATTTTCGATAATAATTGTGCAGGGCATAAACATAGTTTAATTATTACATATTTCGAGCATGCTGCAGTGGCCCTGGAGTGGTTCAATAGTTGCATACTTGCACGTGTCGCTGAGCCCGCTATTAGCTTCTCAATATCCTCAGAAAGCGGCTCAAAGAATTGAAATCGACGCTACTCCTGGGGAGCTGAAGGCCATGCAAGTGCTGATAGAATCCGTACGTCCTCCAACTACTCGCTGGACTAGGCACACACCGCTGCAGGTACTTCCTGCATTGTATGGCTGGCGACTCAATCCGGTGAGCGAGGCGGCCAACGAAAGTCAGGGAAACAACGTAAGACCGGTGACAAGGATTCACTCAACCTATCTTGAGATCGCCTCTCAGTTTTATGTCGCTGTCTGGAATCGGACGTATTTCTATGCAACTTCACGAAATTCTCGGATCGTCATTATTTATTACACGCTCTTTAGGATTTCCCTCAGGCCCCTCCTGCCCCGAGCGTCGATGACTTTTTCTCCTAAGGGGTTGTTGTAGACGTGGAATTCATTATAAGCAAAGCATCCGTACACGGACTGAATTTTTCCGATGCTAGTATAGTACACTTGCGTTGTTATATAAGGAGAGCTCTGATGGTGGGGCCACAGTGATGCTTTTCATAAAGTACTCCATAGATACGAGTAGTCACCTGGTGGAGCCACAAGGGGATATACATGCACACGTATGCTCTTCATTCGAAACAACTACTTCCGAGCATACTGTGTCACCACGTTAGACGCAGCTACGGATTGGCCTATGAGATTGCACATTCAGCGTTGTTAATTCTCAATGAACTGTTATCGTACTCCCACGCTAAGTGCCACATACAGGGCGATCGGATGCGAACGAGGGTAGACACTTGTCTTCATATCGATGCATTCGATTCGTCGTTTCCAGATACCACACGTTTGATCCCAACGTCGAACCTCATCAATCTCGTCTGCACTACCGCAGTTGCCCCCACATCGTCGGAGGCGTTATGGCAAGGGAAAGAGGGCGAAGGAAATTCAACCCTGTGGAGACACTCAGGTCTGTGCGACCTCTCTCCGTCGTGTAGCATATACTGAGCCTCAGGTTCGAACGGTCTTCCGATCATACTCCTAGCCTGGCAGAACCATGCTTTGGGAGAGATGTACGTTGACTAAGTCCCCTATTGATGTGATTAAATTCTCAAGCTCTCATATTTGTTAACGTACTCCGAGCTTTCTCGTGTTCGCGCTATCATACACGTATTCCTATCAGTTAGAGAGTATCCCTCTATCTGCAGTATCGTGGTGAACACCATTCTATCGGACTCGCTGAAATCACTCGGCTCTCCTGCAGTGACGAGCTACCTGTTCAGGTCCTGGCCTCATTGCGGCCACATCAGCACCAGTCAACCCTGGTTGGCTCAGTAGCCGAAGGTCGTAGAGTGAGACGTGGCGCAAGAATGGAAGACAGAGTTATTCACGTCGAAGAGGACGCACGGCTCGGGAGAAGGAGAACGCCTCGAGTTGGTGAAACATTTTGTCGTTAGTTAGCAATTGGGACTCCTAGGCTACCTCACGACTCGCTCGCCATTTTCGCCGATCGACCTCGTACTGCCGTACGACAGAACACCGATGGAAGGACCAGATTGAGAACATAATTGGGTCCGTTCTTTCCTGCTTGGGAGTAGTAATGATCATACGTTCCTCAGATATGCTGATCGTTGGGCCACGTCTAACACTGAGTACGGAAATCGTTGTTATGCTGTTCGTGCCTACAACACACTCAAACTCCCTTGAATTCACTACATCATTACCACCACTCAAACTCGATGGAATAAAGAAGCCTTCTTTGAAGTTTGGGTTAAGTCGTTCACGCAAAACCAATTATCATTTTGGAGAAACGTTATTGGATAATTACGTTGTCGGAGTTGGTATTACTCCTGGGACCGACGGACCTTAGACAGGTACCGTTGCTCTGCTTCCAACAGTTTATCGGCCTCTCGCTTCTTGCCGGAGCGTCGACGAACCCTTGATGGGAACTCTGCATCTGCCAAACACCTTATCACTTCATCACAATCTGGCGGACGCTACTCTCAGTATTGTCCTGGCGAGAATTAGCGACTGCTTGGGCGAGCCTTTCGAGCTCATCTCGATCCTCAGCTAGGTCCGAGGACACCACCTGAGCAAGGGACGCAGAATCACTCCACCGTGAATTTCGCTCCGACTACCTTCTTCGTTTTCTCTTCCTTCTCCTCTCTACGCCGGGCTCGACGTCTGGCCGCTGGTCCTAGCTTCTTGCGAGGTGACCCGTTACCGGCTGGGGTCGCGCTCGTCTCATCGACGGCCTTGGCAGGCTCAACCTAAATGTGGCACGTCAAGCCAACTTTTCCAAAGACGAAGGTTCATGAGCTGAGCGAATCGTGCAGAGCACCACAGCCGCGCCCCTATGACCTTCTCAGCGACCTCGTCACTGGCATCAGCTGCTACCATCTCTTCCGCTCTTCTGCGCCTAGCCGCTCTCTGCCGAGCTCCTCTCCCTCCCTTATGAGACTTCTCGATATCCTTCTGAACTTCCTGAATCATCACACGCTGTCGCGTCCCATCTCAACGAGTAACGGACCGTCTCTTTCTTCTTCTCTATCTGCTTCTTCTTAGACTGCTGCAGCTGTTTTAAGGCTCGCTTATCCTCGATGGCGAACTCGACTATAGGCCGACGGTCCGAGTCCAAGTATCTAGTGCCGGAAGAGTTCAGTGCTACATCACGTTCAAGGACGAGAAAGCCAACAAAAATATTCTATCTACGACTTCATCACAAACCGTCGGCCTTGGAGTTTTACTTGTTATTGTTATTCATCATCCTCAGGCACTTCAAAGCAACTTGGTTGTTCCTGAAGTCCGCGAAGGCGAATCCTTTGCAGCGTTTAGTGGTGGCTCCCTCCTCTCCACCAGGAATCGGCACCCTTCTCTCTTCATCAACCAATACATTGACCTTCATCCATAGCAGCAGTGTAACGGCAATCCGCACTTGTAAACTACCTTAACCGAATGCCTAGTACTCGCCTTGACCTTAGCCTCCTTGAGAGCCTCGTCAATGGCCTGCTTGAGAGACTGCTTAGTCGTATGAACAGCCAAATTCCGAATAGACAAGCGCAACGGGTTGATGACGAAGTTAGTATTATTGTACATCTTATACCTAGCAATAATTATCACTGCAGAGCGGCTACCATAACTCCTCCTACTTCCGCTCCTTCCAAGATGCTTCTCGGAGACGCTTCTCGGAGGCAGTCAGCTTTAAGAACTCCTCGGATTCTGAAAGCACTGTTTTCGGAAATCCTCGATGGTCGTACGTCCCACCAGGATCAATATAGCCTTCCTTCAGTAAATGGAGATTCTTCTTACTGTCCGCTTGAGACTTCTTTTCAACCGCACTAGCAACCTTGAGAGAAAAAACAGTGAGATCGGCTACATGCTGACTATGGCTCCATGCACCGCTCGGCCCCCCCAAAAATGCTAATCACCTCGTCAGGCCTTGATGGCTAATAACGACAACTCTCGTTCCTTCCAACGTGAATCCCGACAACTTCCCAGATTGGCAGTCGCTGCAGCACTGCTCATTGTTTTCGCCTCCTTCGAAGCGAGACCGAGAACCTGCAAGAGGCGCGATCACTCTAACATCTTCTCTATCTCGTCGTAGCATACACTCATAACCACCAATTAACATCGTATATGATCCTTTTCTGATCAGTGGGAACTTCAGTCCCTTCACAACCAGAGCACGATTAGCCAACTCCCACTCCGCGGCGAATATATTCGCCGCGATGCCGTAAGGTCGAAACGATGGAATTTTCGAAGGTTCGTTGTCAGAATAGACTAGTGGTGAATATATGTCCTCGCTTGCCCAATACTACCCTGTTGGCGCTCTCCTCGATGTCCAGCAACCTGTCGGCTACCTCGCTCGAACCTGAGCGTAGACACTAGCCTTGATGATGATCAGCCACGAACCCTTACGCATCTTGACGAAGGCCTTCCCACTCGAAGGGTGTTCACCACCGCCAACAAACTTCACAAAGGTGACAGGATCTTTAACTTTGTCTCCGTCAGCATTCAACTGCTCTGTCAACGATGTGACAACATCGGGTATCGTACACGTGAAAGGGAGGTTGCGAATCTAGATAAAGGAAAAGTGACTGCAGAGGGAAAGTAAGGACTTTCTCAATACGTCGCCTCTCGAAATCACGACAGTGCGTTTTTAGTTCGTCCCGTGGTGCCCTTATTACAAACAAGGTCCGGCCTTCATCCAAATCGAAACCGCATTTTCGCTTCGCCTTGGAGCTCGAGGGCTCCTCGTCCTCCTCCTCGCTGTCAGATTCCTCAGACTCCTCTCCAGCATCACTATTATCATCGTCGAGCTACAGAAAACGCGCGTTTATCTACACTGTATCGAAGAGCACTGAATTACATCCTGTGGTTCTTCCTTCATTTCCTCTTCCACTTCTTCTTTTTCCTCCTCTTTTTTCGCCTCCTCTACCTCTTTTTGACGTCTCTCACGCTTTTTCTTGGCGTAGGTTCGGGTGTCCACACTGAGATCCACGGCCACCTGAAACACATTTGCCGACAACCGATAAATGAGTGAGCCACGCTGCACTCTTAGGGTTGGGAGTAAGAACTTGAAAGACCGATTTTAACCTCAAACGCTGGCAGACGCAATTTTCACCTTTTTACCCTCTGCAGCATTGTAAGTCCGATCCACGAAACTCAGAGCAACCGTAGGCGTTCCCCGTTCGAGAGTCCCCGCTGAGTCACTACCTGCCTTCCTCGGACCTTGAGCCCTTGCGAAGAGCTGCTAACGGCGACTGCCTTGTCCGCTTCCTTTCGAGTTGAGAATTGAACGAAGGCAAAACCACTGATAAAAATAAAGCTCTCATATGAAGCTCCGACTGTCCCATAGTACCCATGCGGAAAAGGCCAATTCGGTTTGTTGTGTGGCTTCTCACCGAGGACGATTTCCGCGATCTTGCCAAATCGAGACATAGCCCTGAGGGTTGAACAGATATCATCCCAAAGAGAGGAGGTATCTCTTACTTCTGCAGATCGGGCTTCATCGCCCTGTAGGAAAGATTTCGGACGATGACGCGGCCCTCCTTGGTGTGCTGCATCGCGGAGGTAGCTGATCCCTCGACCATCGTTATAAGCAAAGCCTAACTGAATGATAGTGATGTTCCGAGTGATCAATATAGAGCACCGCTGCTGAGTTAACAAGGGAGTTCACAAGGTCACGCTGGTCGTTGTGCCGGGAGGATTTACGAAAGGAGTGGTATGGGACATAATAATGTGACTTGTGCATCTTGTAATTCTTGTTATTCCCTTAGGAGAAATTCGACTGTGCTGGATGAGTCGCCGTAGATTTAACCATGGACGGGTAATCAGCTAGTTTTCATAGCCTCTGCTTGGTGGTCTGCTCTCTGAGACACGCGGTCACCAACGCGTACCCGGGCTGATCGGATGAGGTCGGACCGAGCAAGGCTTCCCACATTAGGCCAACATCTAATGCGTTGCTTCCAGTCGGTATACTAATGTCGGTCCCGTCCGGAGCCCAACCGAGTGTTCAAGGCCCTGTGGCTGTGGGAGACCTCTTGAGTGAGGCTTCGAAAAGATTCGAACAAGAGTTTCTTCAGCGGCCTGATGCATTCAGTGTCGCTCCAGCTTCCATACCACTCCTTGGTGAGATCGAGTCAACGACCTACCGTCTTAGAATCAATTACATGAGGCTAAAAGTCGTCAACATGACATAGACCATAACAACCTTTTTTCGTTAGGTACCAGTGCAGTTCATGAGAACATTTCTGTGAGCATCGCCGTAGATCGATACACTGTAATTGTTGGACGATCGAGCCAAGACAGCTCCGAGGTGCTACTGCGAAGGAGGTGTGCGTCTCATATATCTTCGCTTCGCGCAGTGTTCTCTCATCTGGAATAGTGCTCTGTTACAGAATACAGTATTGAGAGGCTTGACCATCAGGTTAGAGTTATATCAACGTCATGTGCGAAGGCGTGTGTCTTCACTCTGCCTCCTATTGAGGAGGGGGAGGGTGATGAGACCGCTGGAGATGTGCGCGGTTGGGACTGGTAGTAAGGGCAATCGACTCACATTCCTTTCGCAGACTCAACAGACGCTTGTGGAGATTTTTGGACCCTGAGAAATGTGCGCCTGGTGGCTCTTACTTGTGGTTGGAACCAAGGTGATCTCGTGGACAGAGAAGCAGTTTCGTAATGAGTGTGGTACTCATCAATTAGTAGGACCGGTCTTGACTAGCGCCTCTTCTCATCGTTACCCGGTCGTTCATGATGTCCCTATAGGAGCAACATCATTCGGAGTCTGGTTCAAGAATTAAGGCAGCTGAGTGGTATCGATATATCAGGCTTCACTGCTGTTGTGCATAGTAAGACATGGGTCAGGCCATGGAGACAACTCTACTGCTGCGTTTTGTGCCCTATAAGAACAAGCACTAGTCTACCGCGCTTAGCACTATGACATTACGAAGCGGTCAAATCTTGGTAGAAGTAGTCATGTAAACTCGGGTACCTGTTGAGTCTGTCCCTGGACCATGCCAATCAATTCATCGCTAGTGTGTGGATGATTACGACACTAGCACCGGGTTTCGCCTACTGTTTAGTTCAACATAGTCGGCAGCCGATCTCCATTGTGTGCCCCTTACCCTTGGCTTATCGTGCAGGTACTATCCCGTCGCACCAATCAATGAACAGCTCAGCGGCACTAGAGGTTGCTATGGCGGCACTTCTTCAGCGATTATTCCCTCAGAGCTTTTGCACAGTTAGCCAAATGGATATGATACTTGCCTGTCGCCGAGCTGATCAGAAGTACTGATGAGAATCTACTTGGCCGTTCGATGCATTCCTTCCCTCTTCGCCTGTTTCCGCTGATCTACACAAGTCAACTGTGTGCTGTCCCCGCGACTGATGTATTCCATCAACTGTATCTATATGAATGTATGAACAAAATATATATCAATTCTACTATTATAAATGGGTATGTTTGTAATATCCAATATAATAGTATGAATAATATAAATTAAGATAATACCAAAATTTGATTTAATTATAGATAGATTCATGTGCTATCATATAGCAGGCATTTCACTGCTAGCTGAGGGCCAAATCGTCTCCGCAGTCTGTGCTGCAACTATCCTCAGAAAGCAATGCTATTCATAACTAAGCCATGCTCATCAGGTGTTCAGACGTGGGTTCGAACGCTTTCACATCATCGGCTCTCGAACAGCTCACTTGCACCTTCTCGAGACAAATGCACGCTATTCACGCTGATGCTGGAGATGTAGTGCATTGGGAATGCGAATTCGAGTAGATATAGTCATCAATGGAATTGAAATTTATCTTTACCGTGGAGAGCATCATATTTCACGGTCTCATACTTTTTATGTTACACACAATTTTCAGTCATTATACTGAGCGAATTTCTAAGGTGAGTTTCTATCTCGCATGAGGTGACTTCTGCATCAAATCGGACTTCGCCGATTTTGAGCGTTACGTATTGGTTCATATTCAGATGCGGATATTCGACTTCATCGCCTTCCCATCCCAGCCGACCATCCGACTGCTCCTTATCGTACCACTCGTCTCTCAGGAGTCTCCGCACCTCCCCCTCGAGTAGGTTGGGACACTGTAATTCACAAGTCGGGGAGATCGATGGAACTTCAGTAGCATATGATGCATCCTTCTACAGCAACAATATCGTTTGGAAATGGTATATTCGTGCTCTAGAATGTATGTAACCACTTTGGTCACACTTTGTTTCCTGTAGCACTTCATTTTCTCTCATCGTGTCGAATATCCTTGGACAGTTTTGAAATATATGTTCGTTCCCCCTAGTAGTTATAGAAATTTATGTAGGAGTTAGGGTAGAGGTGTACAGGAGCTGACAGGAATTCCCCAGAATTTCCTCAAAATTTTCGGATTGTCGCCGACACATGCAGTTGACCATGGCGAGTTTTTTCGCACTAACTCTGGAAAATTCTTCTGCTACTATGGATCCGTTTGTTTTGCGCTTCAGTCGCTGGCAGGATTCTCCCACTGAGGACGAACTAGCGATATCGGCTGCGCAACTGATGGGCCGTCCATCCCTCAGAGACATTGCGATTGAAGACGTGGACCGAGCGTCGCTAGATGACAGGCAACGCAAAGCTGTTATGGGTAGGTGTGCAATTGGGCTCGGGAGAAGAGTGGAGTGGTGTGGCCTTCAGGCGTTGTATTAGAAGCCAACCGAGTGAATCAGCTAGTGTCGATGCAACGATCATGTACGGCTGAGGACCTTGGTGCTCTGTTGAACTCGGACAGGCTGGCCAACGATGAATGTGAGTCGTGCTGGAGAATGGCGTGGTCTTTCGTCTCGCATGCTACCGAGGCGAAGTATGATCAGCTTCCTTGCTCCTATATCGATCACAAGTTAGTGAACGGTGCATTCCATATGTAGTCGAACTGCGATCGAGCCAAGGTTGGGCGGTCTCCTCGTTCGTGTTTTGTCGGAATTATGGTGATTTAGTCGTCATATGACTGCTGATGTATTTCTTGTTTTTTAATATCTTGTTTAGGCCACCGACTTCTTTCGGCGATTCGGTTCCTTCCGGGCATCTTTGGATGCCGACGAGTAAACGGCAGCTACCAGAGTCCGTCGAGCTTCGCTGCTATCGCCATCGCTGATGTTGGAGTGTGCGGTCCGTATCTTGTCAAGTTCTCCCAAGAGTACAACTGCACAATTCATGTGCTCACTCCTGCCGATGGTGCTTACTCTAGTTATCTCAAGTTCATGGCACCTCAGCAGTGAATATGACCGCGTCACTCGTTGCCAATCACTTTTCATGCTCGCACAGTGTTGAGTCAGAGGTGGTTCCACACAGTAGTTCCAGCCGAGCATAGGGCTTATGTTCCAGAAGTGGGAGTATTTGCACTGGCACGTACTGAACATAACGTACAGCGAAACATGGTTTTTGCTGATCGCAGCATTTTCCCTAATTCCTGTCCCATCTCGTCATAAGCGTGGGGGGACAGCGACACAAAGAAGCTTGTCAGGGGTCTCCTACGTCCCTTGGTAGTTGCCGTTTCTTACTATGGAGCTGAGAACTGGTGTATATTCCCAACCATTGCTCGCTCTCGCCTTATTCATTCTTCCTTTGGTTGTGCGCGGCCTTGGATTCGGGCAGATCCTCTTGGGACTTTTCCTGGCTTACTTGGTTTACTTCTTCGATTCCTCACAATACGAGCCCGGCAGAAGGTAACTCGTAGGGAATCTTAGGTCCAACTCTACAAGATACGAAATAGGTCAGATTGCAGTCATTCTCGGTTCTAGGTACCATCCGCGTATCTACAACTGGATTCGCAACGCAGATGCACGCATGCTCAGTGGCTATTTCCAGAAGGTTTCACTCAATTACGAAGACTTCGGGGCTATCGAGAAGCAGCCTCAAGTGATCTACTCCATCCAACCGCACGGAGTTATGTCATTCTGCCCGCCCATGCTGTTCATGAACGCCCCGCAGAAAACCTGCGGCCTTGGTGCCTCTGTGTGCTTCAAGTTTCCTATTATGCGGGAGATGTACCTCTGGATGGGCGTCATCGATGCTGGTCGCCGCACGTGCATGAAGGCACTCAAAGAAGGCTACAGCTTGTCGATCGTTCTTGGTGGTACGAAGGAACAGTTGATACCCTACTCGCCTACTCATGATACTATTGTATGCAAGTCTAGGAGAGGCTTCATCTACTTGGCTAGGGATGCTGGCAAGATACCCATCGTGCCATGCTATTGCTTTGGAGAGCAGATTGCTTACGGTAAGTCATCGCTCGCACAACTGTAACCTCATCAATGAGCACCCGTGCCGCGTTCCCGTGATTGTTTCTCTTCAGAGACTAGTAACTTCATGCTCTCTACGCGCCAGTGGCTTCAGCAGCACCTAGGTTTGGGTCTACCTCTGCCCAAGTCGTGGCGTCCCAAGCACTTGAAGGACTTCGCACTGGTAGTCGGCAAACCCATTGAATGGGAGGAAGAGGACACAGTAACGACCATGCACGACAAGTAAAATCCTCCCTCACGTTGAGAATGTCCAGTCGTACTTGCATCAGGTACGTCAGTGCTATCCATGATTTATTCTACGATAATAAGAGCAAATACCCCGAGTACGAGAAACGCGAGCTTGTCATCGAGTGAGCCTCCAGTGACAATCGCGGTATTCAGTTCCTTCACATTTCCTCAGCAGTTCTGCTATTCGAGCTGGCCTCGCGTTTCTCAGTGATTAATTCTCGCGAGTTTGAGTTCATGCAGGTTTTCACTCCTTCTCTTAATGGCTTTTCCCTTACATATTCGTTCCCAGCAAGATGCTCTTGCCCTAGCGCTGTTCCTGGCTCCAACCCTGTTCAAGGGAGTAGGATTCTGGCAACTTGCATGCGGTCTTTTGCTCGCCTACTCGGTGTACCTTATGGATTCTGCCCAGTACGAACCTCACTGCAGGTAGGTCCTTGCGTTATTGCTGTCGTTACCAGATTGCGCTCGCTCTGTAGATACAATTCGAAGGTGTTCGAATATTGCCGCTCTTCCTATACCAAGATGCTCAAGAGGTTTGCCGACAATGTTGCCCTCGTGTACGAAGATGAGGGCGCACTCAAGCAGTGTTCGCAAGTGATCTATTCGATACACCCTCACGGTGTCATGTCTTTCTGCCATCCATTTCTATTTTTCAACTGTCCCCATGCAACCTGTGGCCTGAGCGCTTCAGCCTGTTTCAAGTGTCCACTTATGAGGGAACTCTGGCTTGCACTCGGTGTCATTGACGCTGGACGTGCTACATGCATGAGAGCCTTGCAGCAAGGATACAGTCTCACTCTAGTGCTTGGTGGTACGAAGGAACAGTTGATACCCTACTCGCCTACTCATGATACTATTGTATGCAAGTCTAGGAGAGGCTTCATCTACTTGGCTAGGGATGCTGGCAAGATACCCATCGTGCCGTGCTATTGCTTTGGGGAGCAAATCACGTATGGTAAGCCCCTCAGGCAGTCACGACTTCGATACAGCGATGCTCACATTTCAGAGACAAGTGACTTCATGCTTCCTCTCCGTCAGTGGCTGCAACATAACCTCGGCTTGGGCATGCCGCTCCCCAAGTCGGTTCGTCCGAAGCATTTGAAGGATTTCGTAGTCGTTGTTGGCGCCCCTTTAACATGGGGAGAAGATGACACTGTGGAAACCATGCATGCTAAGTGAGTGAATCAGCACACAGGAAATTCAGCCATGATTCTGTGTCCCTGTCGAAGTACACTCTGGTCGCCCTGCAGGTATGTCTCGGCGGTTCATGATCTCTTCTACAAGAATCGTGAGAGATACCCAGACTACGCCAAGAGAGAGCTTGTCATTCAGTGATCGTTTGTGAATGATTGTTCCTTTTCTGTTTGTTCGACAGAGTTCTGTATTCAATTACTAGTACATTTCTCTCCGCGATAATAAAGCAGAACCGCGAGGGTCATTGGATCTCGCTCACTAAGTTGCATATAAGCCTCCTTGAGTATCTCGTTTTGATCGTTTCAATGCATTGCTAATACGCCCAGGTCTTGGGCTTAGCTCTCCTCGGCCAACTGTGAATCTCACCGGGTTCTCATGGCGTGTTGCCGGAGTCCCAGTTTGATGTACTGCGAAAGCGATGCCTTGTCGAACGTCGCTTTTCATGTCTGAGAGCAGATAAGCCCACATTATTGTATCACTCGAAAAGGCTCTTTTTGGGACGCTGATGAGTCTTCGAGAGCAATGTTGATGTGTTGTTTTCTTTGAAATGAGATCGATCGAACCTATCAGGAACGGCTGTAAGCCTTACTATGACTATGACGACGTTAATGATAGACTCTGCATCTTTGTCTGTGAGTACCAACGAGTTTGCTCGTATAAGCGCGACGATCCAGAGTTCTGTCGAGATATTCATATTGCCTGCCACGGCGAGTACGCGGTGAGCAGCATATTCGACTGTCTCGATGCACTATTCTCTATCGCCAATACCAAGACTGAGAGCACCACATCACTGCGCTGTGTCAATTTGGGAGACACTGATAGGCCTTGATGAGGAGCGGCTACTGTTAACGTATGGGGCTGGGATTCATAAAGGTCGGCTTCGAGAGATCTCATCCTGGTTCCCGTTCCTGGAGGCTCTTGCTGTTCACACTCGTTCCACTTCATCGCTGCCAATTGTAACTGCTGGCACGAGCTTGAAGCAGCACGCAGCCCGACGTAGTTGAGCAAGACGCAGCTCGTCCTGATGCCCACATTATTGTATCACTCGGAAGGGCTCATTCCCACCACGCGCGGTCATTGAACTTATTTATTAACTATTCGGTGACAGTATACTACTTCCCATCGGTATGATATTCGATTGTAAGATAATGGGCGTTGCGTTGGCTGCGGACGGGCCTCCGTGAATGGTCGACTTTCACATGCAGTGGAATCCGCAAACTCACGGACGGCCACCGAGAACTCGCAAGACGCAATAGTCCTGAGGGCGATACAGAGGCACTGTCAACGTTATTGCTCTACAGAATAGCATTCTAATGGACCGCGGGACCCTCGAGTCGTGTCAAAGGTGTGGGAAAGATTTCGGGTGGGTGTAGGAGACAATAATTCCTTCGTAACGTTGCCAGAGACGGCCGTTATCACTCAAACCTCAGGCAGTCTTCGCTTGCAAAGCACTCAAGTTTCTGCGGGCAGATGAAAGGTAAGAACTCCGTCATCGTCCACGCTAACCTGTTATGAACATATGAATGTTTAGCTACCGATTCAGAGGGCGTTTCAACGGCAATTACTGTTAATTACTCTCAGTACCCAAATTCGACAAAGTCACGCATTACCTCCGCAACACTGATAGTGCATCCTACATGGGTTTGATTAAGGTGAGAGCATCCTATCGAGGGCTCGCTACCTCAATTCAGATGAAGCTTTCACGCGGAGTTGCAAAATACTCAAAGCTCGGGCTCGCGGCTCGACGAGTTCGACCGTGCTGCGGCATATGTGGGAGGAAGTTCGACTCCTCGGTAAGCCTTGTCTCACTACGGAACATCTTTGCTCCATAGGAAGCTCTGTCGAAGCACAGCCGAGGATGTCGGGGACCGTCCGAGGGGTCACACAAAAGTGAACTAAGAACTGTCACACTGAGAATACCAGACACAACGCATGCAACGGGCATTTCTTCACACCTTAAACCATCAACTTCCCGTACCACTAGAAGTGAGGGGATCTCGCTCAACGCCATGTTCTGATCGTGTCGATAGAACCGAGGTCGGCTACAGCTCGATCTCCGCAAGAGGGGCATGGGCACGTTGTTGCCCGAGCAGCTCAGCCGTATCACGTGCCACCCATGCCTGGCAGTGCCGGAGGTGAGTTCCATCTCCCTCACACCTCACATTGCACAGTATACCACAGATAAGCTCGTCGATCTCAGGTGGTGTTCGTGTTGGCTTGCGAGCGAGACATCCGAACGTGAAGAGTGGGAATACGGAGTCTGTAGCACATAGTACGAACGATGCAGACTCATCGCTGGCGAGATCCCCGAGAGAGATTTCAATGGTTAGTGAAAAGCCGAACTTTGTGCTCATCATCGTCAACTCTGGGATGAAATGCTCAATTACATGAGAATCGCCTGGCCAGTAGCCATTCGTGACGTATTCCTGTGGAATGGTGAACTATAGGCTGCACCTGCGGTGCTTTCCTGAGCTAATACTTCATCTACCCTAAGCAGTTCTACCTCCTCACGTGTCTGAGACGCGGTAACGCAACACGGAGATAACACTTGAATGCCCACTAGAAGCTTCATTTCGAGGATTCGGAACCCGATGAGTTTACTGCTCTTACTGCTCGCTTCGGATAATGAAATTTTACAACGTCGCTTGCTAGCGAATACTGGCAATTTTTTGTATTAACCACTTGTTCGCGGAGCTACAGAGCAGAAAAGTTCGGAAAGGTTTCGAAATCGAGTCGGTCCATATCATCGTCTCAGAATACCTTGGAGCCTCCGTACGAGCTCGCAGCGGAAGAAAGGACACCCGACGTGTTGGGCGGCGAAACCCTTGCAGTGTGAGGGCAACATCGAGTTTATCGGGATATGGTGCTTCGAATCCCCTCATTCGAGACTTGGGAGGCAGATTATCTTCTTCTTGGTCCTGACGATCGATTTCAGACATGCAGAGAGAGCTCCTATTTCGGAGAGGCTTTGTGGGACGCGGCAAGGAGGTTCCAGCCTGTACACCAACAGCTTTCGAGATCATCACATCGATGGGTTTGAACCAGACAGTATCTTTGGAATTGACGTTGAGAGCATCCTGTTCGGCGAAGACGATATAGAAGCGGTAGGAGGTGTGTTCAAATCAATGAAATATCCACGCACTGGGACTCGAACGTCGCCTCTCGATCACACATCGTGGACCCATCCTTCCCCTCTGTTGCTGAAAGAACGCTTCCTTTTTGACCGGCGTCGCCGTCAACAATCCTCTCTACTGGTTCTTCCAAATAACTAACTAATCATCCACCCACCAAGTGGTGGCACCACTTGAAGTGTCAGGGCCCGTCCGTAGGAGTGCATCCGCTGGCTAGCTGCCTCCCAGCAAGTCTCATGCCTTTATTGGGGGGATACGGTGGAGGCGGCGTCACTTCGGGGTAAGGCGTATGTTGGAAGGGATGCCTGGATCTTGAACATCTGATCTCTTCATGAGAAGCGCTGCATCAATAATTCTCGGAGACTGCCACCATGGTGCTCACAAGCTGTGAACAGATTGTCCCGACCACTTCGTTTCTGAGCCTCAAGGCGCGTTCGACATCTGTGCATTCGAGCTAATCTAAAAAGCAACTGCTTGGTGCAGGTTATCGACCGAACAAGGCAAGGCTGAGCATACTCCATTGCCCCGTCTGAAATATGAAAAAGCTCTTCCGCAGCCACGAAAAGCTACTGGTCGCTCCAGGAGAACGAAAGGGATTTGAAGGGTGTCTATCATGTTCCACAATTATCATTAATGTCTCAACAACCGTTTTCCTACTGCCGGTGTGTCGGGTTGCTCATAATGTTCGCGATCTGGTAAACAAATTTACACACTATGCTTGTCTAGCATTGCCGGATGTGTTCGCCCTTGGCCGTTGTCAAACCGCCATCAGCAACAGTGGTGAATTATCTTCAAGTGGATACACATTCGATATCCTGAACGTCGGTCCTATCCTGAGATTGCTCGTTCATTGTCGCCAACTCAAGTCTTGGTGATACATTATTACGTGAGACAGACCCCTTTTGAAGTTCAAGTATGGTGCCCTATATGCTACCCCGATCATGCAAGTAGAATTTCACATAGAGTTCGTCGTGGGCCCTATCGTGGTAGCAGACCCACTAGAAAACCGGCTGAGGTGGCTGACTAGCACGCTCACCACATCGAGCACTCACGGCATAGGAGGGTGTCAGCTCGATGGATCTCGCAGTTTGCCCACGTTACGCTGCAACTCACTCAACAGAACGCTACACGCATTATTGTCAAATCACGAAACGCAGAAGTGAACGTACCTCAAAACTATCTACCGACTCACAGACCTCCACAGGACAGATGATACATTCTTCTTTTATATTATAACATATAAACTTTGTTCTATCATCGAGGTGTATTTCCATCCAAGTCGTTCCACCAACTCTCAAGGGGAAGTGATGGAGGCGGTAACTATCTTGAGGACGGTGCCATTCGTCTCTACTAGCCTAACTATCGGTGGTGCACAGCGAACGCACAGGGCCGGTGATCTGACAGTGACAGTCGCAATATCAAGAGTCACGAAGCCGAATGATCGCTAAAGGACTCACGTCCCAGGTAGGGTTGCGAATTGACCCGTGGTTCCGGAACTCTCCGCCAGCTGTCTATAATGAGCGATCCATACATCGTGGCACCTTTTATGATATCTGACGAACAGGGCGTTAAACGTCGAAGGGCTCGGTCATCGATAGGAAGTCTTTAGCCAAGAAGAGCTCATTGCTCTAGCCTAGGCGCGAATTTTAAATCATGTAGAAATTCGGCAGATGAAATATCAGCGTGGACGTAATCCGATTCAGCTCGAGCTTACATTTTGCCACCACATCCGCCACAAGTCATCAAGAATGGCCCACGGCCCTCTAGCTTGAAACAAATCGGGCACGGGTGAAGTCTCGAAACATTCTGATCTCGTTCGATATCCTCAAACACGCCAGGTTTCTTCAGTGCTTCAGCCACTGCTTGTCTTGCCGCCGGTAACTTCAACACTTGCACATACACGAAAAGCAGGTGCCTGGGTTAGGATTGAAGTTTCGTTCGCTGCGAAGCCACAAGCCACAATGGTAGGGCAACTCACTCGCAGCAATAGTCCGGCGCAGCCACGAACGCAGGGCAATCGCAGGAAGGTGTTGAGTCGGGAGCGACGTTCACTGTAAACTGCTCACCACCATCGGTAACGAGACGGAACTGTTGCGCGATCACCGGGTGCTCATCCTGAATATCGAACAGTAAGCTTGCTAAGAGTCTTCATCAGCGTCCCACCTGCTCCGTGGTAGTGAAACCGACCGAGTCTCTCCCGAGTAGCCGGATGGTGCTATTGACATTCTTTTTAGCACTGGTCTCAACCGGGGCTCCCGCCGACCCTAAGATGACCACGTCAACGGATTTCATCGGGAAAGCGATGACCACTATTTGTGAACCAGTGAAATACAGAACTGTATTCTCTTAGGGAAAGTACTTCCTAACTGAGCCCCGGAAACCTCCGACAATTTCATCACTATATATAACAAAAACCGACACTCACTAAACAGTCCAGTCTGAGTGAACAATCGTCAAGAGAAATCGCGGCCCTAATTCGTAGCCCACGGCATACCACGCAGTTCCCGATCTGTTAAGGGGTGGAGCAAGGTTCGCGGGAGCGCTACACCATCCCTGCTAGCGCTGCTGCTCGAGCTCGGACTTGAAGGAGACCCCGCCCGTGATCCGGCTGATGACGACCTCGAATTGATGGATTCGCCCAACTCACTATGGGCCAGAGATAGCGCGGCTATCAATACCTGTTAGATGATGACGCTGCTCTCCGATCACATGATATAGTCGTAGATTTAGTAAAGTATACGGTGATTCATACTTAGTATACATTCAATACATGGGATGATGCTATGGACGTTCTTTCCGCGCTCGAGACCGGTTCGCTAGTGTTGACGAGCGGCCACCTCAGCTGCGTACGACCCACCCTCTGCCTGAGGGCCTCTGGCCTGCTTTTCAATAGAGGCAACAAGACCGCTGAAATTTGCGCATCTGTAAACCTGCTGAAGATGGTGTTAACCACCTGAGTGACTGGTTCACGACGAAAGACTCGGAAAAGAACCAGCACTCGCCAATGATCGGTGCTGCCCTGTGTGACAGATGAGATTCTCGGTGGGGAAGGAACCGGGGGAGACTCTCCTGGAGGACGCAGGGAAGGGTTGGACATTGCACCGTAGTAAACGGTCTATGCCTCTCTGCAAGAAAAAGGCTCCAGTTGGCACCACACAGATTATTCAACTACTGGAATCAATCGAAAACGGGAGGAGAGTTAAAGTTGCCATCATTTTGGTTCCTCGACAGCTACTGCTAAGATGCCAATTTTTCAGAGAGAACCCTTCTCGCAGATCAAGCCGTACCACCAAACTACTCTCGAGACGCCCTACTCGTTACTCTCTTCAAAACAACTGGACAGCCCTGTGATGAAGTCAAATAGTTTTCAGTTAATGAATGGAATAACACAGCTCAATACAGAACTTTACAACTCGTCGCTGTCGTCGCTGATAGCCGCCTCTCTCGGCTTGACCAGTGGTACATACTGGACTCCCATGAGCGGCTCTTTCGTCACAGCACCAGTCTCGTCCTTGTCGATTTGATAGAAGATCTGAACGTGCGATGGGACGAGACCGTGAGAGGCTGACGACGCGGCTCACTTGAGAACCACCGTAGGGCCCAACAGGGATCACCATCCTTCCACCTCGCTTCAGTTGATCGATCAAAGCCCTCGGCACACTCTCAGCTGCTGCACCAACGTGGATTGCGTCGTACGGCGCTTCAGCCGCGTACCCAGACCACCTATCACGAAATCTACGGGATTTTCCACAAGCTAGCCGCGGAGAATCCTTCATGGGGGAAGAGTGCAGTTCGCTTGCTAAACCCGATATTGCCCACGATACAGGGGGGAATACTCCCTACTCAGCGCTCAGGAACCATATGAGGTCGAGCAGTGCAAGTGCGTTGCAAATTCGAAGCCCCTTAGGGACGCCTCACAACACGTTACAGACTAGCGAACATCATCCAATACAACGAGGAGCGCTAGTCGGTGTTGTTGAACTATAACAACAGTGATTACCAATAATCCGTGTTAGTTGTAGCAGTGAGTTACAGCAGTAAATCAGAAAAATAATTTTGTGAGCTACGTAATGATGATTGCCCACAGCACTCACCCGTCTCCTTCAACGAGCTCTAGGCGGCCGGACTCCAACAGATCACCATCTTTCTTCCTCACATTCGCCAAGGAGAACTGCACCAGAGGTGATATGTAGCTGAGCACTAACAATAGAATCCTAATCGGGCTCGATAGCTCAGAGCCCTACAACCCTTGTATTGGCAAGCTCAGCTTGTTCGCAGAGGACCGATCTCAGAGCTAGAATAGCAAATCGGAGAATCATACGCTGCGCAGGAAAAATTGACTACCACGACTGCTACCCCCTGTCATAATCTCTGACTCACAAACCCGAAACGGGATACATTCGATGCACATCTACTAAGAGGAGTACCGCGAGTTATTCTCCGAGAAAAGGGGACCGATTTTCCCAACAACAATGAAACCGATCAGGTACCATTCACTGACATCGTTTCTCCTCATCTGGTCGTGAATACGACGACCAAGAAAGACCATCCCCCCTTCCTAAAGCCCTGAGCACTCACTCTATGCCAACCACTTTGCTGTTCTCGCCGGCCATCCGTGCCATGCACACAGCCAGGTAGCCGCTGCCGCTACCCACATCGAGAATTCTAAAGAAATATGAGAATATGAAAAGGAACATTCGCCGAGTTAGTCAACCCGAGACAAGGTATCAGAAATACTCCACGACATGTAATTTCGACTCCCTTACTTTTTGCCTCCACCGGCAATAAATGGCTCTAACAGTTCCAGCGCATGCGCGTGCATGTGAGGGGCGCTTATCGTAGCACTGTGACCGATGGGTTGCGGTGAATCGTCGTATGCTCTGGCCCTATCGAGGACGTAGTTGGCGCGGTCAACCGATATCTGCGGAGCGCCAATGCGACACTTACGAGCGAGCGGTGGAAAATTTCAAAGATTGGGGCAGCTGCGAACACACGAAGTGCTTCAGCCGAAACACCAGGAATTGATGCGCGTATCCAATAAGCGAGCAGCAATCGAAAGACGACCGATACAAAGGAAGTTGGACTCCAAGACCGACCATAGCCTGAAAGACTGCCGTCGAATGGATCACTCCGTTCCTTCTCAGATTCTCAACAAGCCCAGTATTCGACGTTGACGAAGAACGCCAGGCCATCAAATAGGAAAGATATCTCAGCACAGTAAACTGGCTAGAGAGGGGTTAGCTAACACAGTGTTCGATCGAACCCACCGAATCTGCAGAGCACCCCGACTCTCCCAGAATCGTCACGTTTCAACGCGACACATTACAAGGTATAAGATTTTCCATGAGATAAATTGTCCTCACAGATTGGCAACTGGGCATGCTACAGCTACATTGTCAGAAAGTAGAGAACCTCCTCTTGATCAGCTGGATACCGCAGGGACCGTTCTCCTCACAAAGCCGTCTTCATCCGCTTCGACCCGTTGGGTAGAGCCTCATCGCACCCGCCGAAGTGGTCCACAGAGCTAGCCGCGAAAGCCTCACTCCTCCTCTTGCGTCGCTGGCGTCGTGGTGACTCTATCATCTCGAAGGCCAGACCAGGGCCCGTGGGAGCATTGAGGGACGGAGCCCCACTCGCAACTGAATCTTCAGGAGAGGACGCTGGCACCGAGGCCTGCTCCTGAGGCAATGCTGTACGATGAACTGGGACAGCACACAACGATCGCTACCTGTTCATCAGGACACTCCTCCGGCACTGTGGCCAGCGGGCTCAGTAAGACCTGAGGAGGGAACAACTATTCCGCTCGTTTCCCACAATGCAATACTGAACGATGAGGAGTATCCAAATGGATGGTATGCCCTAGAAATTCAGCGTCATGTGCAGAGATGAAAAAGATCGAACGCTTACACAAACTGGAAATGAGTCTTCGCTGGGAAGGCAACACTTTGCCAACCACAATTTGCAGAGAAGCAGATCTTGCACTCGGCATTTCTCACGGAGAAAATACACACCGAGATGGCAAAGTCCATACGATGAGAATCATCGGTGTCCCCAGAAGCAGCGAGCAGCTACGCTACCTTAGCCGCCAGGTTGATAGGCTCCGGCTCTTGTGATTTCCTCGCGCTACACTTAGAGATAGAGCGGCTGCGCAGCATCGATCGTTTGTTCCGAGTAGCCGGCGTCGGGGTTGTCATTTCCAACAACGCCATAGTAGCTTCCAGTGGGAGTGCAGGTAGTTGCGGCACATCTCCTGGTGAAAAAAGACCGCGGGAACCGGACTGAGACATGAGTGCTGATCGCCTCGTTAGCGACGGCCTCCGTTACCGTTGAGCCCACTGGCGTGAACAGGCGTCTGCTATGTTCGGTGGGAGTACCCTGAAAGAGTATCTCATATCCACAAAGACCTTCCCCAGCAAGACTCGAACGACTGCCCTCACTCTGCCAAAAGCAGCATATCCAAGCCAACCGTGGTTAGCCGCCATTTCCCCTCGCCGACGCTCAATCGTCAGAGGCGTGGCCGGCACCAGGACTCTCGGACGTCTGACTGGAGAAACCCTCTTCGGAGCCATAGCTGGCACAGCAGGAAGCAGCGCAGTATCGCAATTAGCCGGCGAGATCAGAGAGGAGGGCCCAAACTCGACTGAAATGAAGTCCAATAAGAGACACTCAAGGAAGGAGTTTACTTCCTGGTGGGTCGAAAGCCTCTGCGCTGAGTCTGATACGACCAGCAAGCGGCGATAACGACTGATCCTCGTGACCGAAGAAACCATTGCCGAAGTGCCCATCTGAGCCAATCATGGAAGTTCCGGAATCCACAGAGTTGCGCGGAGTTACATTCATCGTAAAAGCTCCCACCAGGGACGTGTTGACGGACTTCAATATTCGGCCCCTTAGGCTTCCGGTGATACCTTGGAAACAAGAACGCGAGAACAAAGTAGCAATAACCGGTGGCAAGCACGAGCTTCCCCACAAGAGGGTCTTAAATACCGCATCGGATAGCTCACCGCTCCATGCGCCTGGCTCGATCGGCCTGTGGCTTCCCGATGAAACTCGAACTCTCAGTTGCGGTCTCTTTTGCTGACGCGGTCTTCCTTCGGCGGACCATCTGACAGTGATGAATGACAATTGAATCGTTATTTTCTAGAAGACGCTTTTTCGAAAACCACTGATGAACGTCTTTGATCCCACACGCGGTTTTTCCTCACTTCGTCCTGCACGGCCTCCTCAATTGACTTTCGCGATTTCCTCGGCGGATCTGGTTCGTCGAGCTCATCCAAGGCTGCGTCACCTTCAACAGGCTCATCTTCTTCAACTACGCTATTCTCGGCTCGCTTCCGAGCCACATCTCGTCGGTCCTCGCGCTGAGGTAGGACTCACGCGAGAGCCGATCGGCCTCCACCTGTGCTCACTTGTTTGTCAGGCAAGTCACCCGCTCGGGACCACAACCGGTCCATAATCTCATCGTCGACGTCAAAGTCGAGATGCTGTAGACATCTCCGCTGAAGCTCCACGAAGGGGATTTGCCAGAGGCAGTGTGGAAGCACGAAACGCTCGAGAAATTCACAAGGTGTTGGAGGGATGTTGGGACTGATATCTTGCCACTCAGGATCGTCTTGTACCTCACGAAAAAAACACTACGAATTGAGAAAGCGATCTTGAATGCCCACACGGGAATCTGGTTACACAAAGGTGATGCGGGACCAACATTCTAGAGAACGATTTGACGTTGAAATAGGTAATAGTACTGACCATGGAGGACGAGTTCAAGCTGTAGTCATCATCATCGGATGTTCGATCAGTCTAGTGATTTAGGACTTTCAAGTCTCATGCATATGATCCAGGTTCGAACCTCAGGATGGTAATTTTAAGAACACCATTGCCTACCGTATTAGCATCTTCGCCTTTTCCCAACAGAACTGCATGATGGAGATCTTCCATGTGCACGGCGACCCGGTGGTACAACTCAGCCGCAGCATTCCATTCCTTTTCACACGCTGCGGCCAGCGACTGATCGTCGAGCTCCTTCAACAAGTACAGCATACGGCAGATATCCAAGTGCACGCAGAATAAGTTCAGCGCCCACGAGATCTACCAAACAGGCAGGCGCATCAAGAAGGATCTTTCCGGATTTCCATTTTACTCACAGATTTATGTTTCCGTTTGTTGCCGCGGCTCAAGCCTTTCTGAATGTGTGCCATAAATTGACCACTAGAGGGACTCTTCACCGCTGTGATTTGACTCAGCGAATGCAGGACGGCAGCGACGCGGCTTCGATCGCCACTCTCCGTAACATAGCGGAGATAGTCAGTGATGATCCCGTTGCTGAAGGCGGAGTACTGCCCGCTAACGTCACCCGAACCGTATGACATGCCCTCAAACTGGCTTGACAGGAACCCATCAAGTTCCACCTGAGCGGAGCGATGAAATTGGGCATTGCCTCATTTCATTATCAACCACACCTGTGAGAGAGACTCAGCATTTTCTGCAAGCAGTGGCCGCTCCCTCGCAGGAACTTCAACCTTCTGCGAGCTCTGCGAGGGCTCCCCGTCCTGCCCCGTTTCTTCCTGAGTTGCAGCTTCGTCATACCGCCGAGGTAAAGGACCCTGCTTAAACTATGAGAGCGGAACTAAGATGAGTTGGTATACAGGTTCCATGCTTTCATCCTTCATCACTGGAACCATTCGGCCGTTCACTCGCGTCCACACTATCTTCTCAGCAGCGCCAGCTCTGATTCTGCCCTCTGGTTCTCGCAGTACCAAAGCCACAGGTCCCCCAGGACAGCTACGGCGATTCGCGGCAATTCCACCCGGACTCGTCGAGCTCACCTACCAAGAGAAGAAAACATTCCAGATCGGACAGGCCTCGCAGTCGTGAAGCGAAGCGAGTCCGACACATGCATCACACAATGGCCCGAATATGCCTCCACAGTGCGACGCCTCGAATCGTTACGTGGACGTATTGATCTCCTGAGCCTCCTCCTCGCAGCTGATGACGAACCAGGCGCAGTTCTTTCTCCAGTGCTGCATTCCTGGACCGCAATTCTGTTATCTGCTCTTGTGCAACTACCTGAACGGAAAATCTCTCACGGACGGACTACTAGCTGTGTAGTCTAGTGGTACAATTCTCATTTAGCAAGCACTAGACCCTGAGTTCAAATCACGGTACAACCTTCATTCCAGATAAGTCCCGATACAGTCACACTATGGCTGCTAACCCTCCTCAATTCCACTCACGCAATACTACCACCGCTGTCGTCGAGCCCTGATGCTCGTCAACTGTCCAGTCACTCACCAGTTCTCGTCTTAGCTGAGCTATCTCAACGATGAAATGCGAAGTTTCATCTCCTGGATGTCCACTATTGTTGAAAGAAGGCATTCACTGGTATATAGCATGCAACTATTCAAACCAACGGGGGTATATTTCGAGATCCTCTCAACTACCCAACGAAACGACAAGTGCAGACACCCACGCTGTGTGAAGCACGTATGCCGCCTCACAGTGTCGGAAAGTATGCACATGGCCAACTACGTGCGTTGGTGGAAATATGATGATTCTGGAAAAATTTTGGTATACTTGGACGCTTAGCCCCTGTGTGCAAGACTGTCTCTCATCTCCATCCTGCGTGAATGAAATTCCCGAGCTTATCTAGGGGAACCAAACATATATTCCAAAACCGCCGCCTCGACTGAATGAGATCCAACGCATCTGTAATCAACTCAACAACAACGTCACGATACACCGTCTCAATACAAGGCATGTTACCATCAACAATATGCCAGCAGCATTCTACTACGTCCATCGACGAGCTCAGTCGCTGCAGCCGGTGCGCCTCCCAGCTCTACTCCTCATCAGATCTCTCAACTCATCTTGGAGGTCGTCGAGTAACTGCTCGTACTTCTCCAGTCGTCCCTTTCCACGTCCATTCCTAGATGCCACTCTTTCTCCTGTGCCAGAAGGATTGTCTCTATCAGTGCTGGACGATGGCCGCCCACGACTACGTTGCCTGTCACTAAATTTTCGACTCAATAATGAACACGCATTTACCTTGGTTTCACCGTGGTCTTCGGTGTTAAACGATCAACCTCAAGCTTTAGATGCTGATTTTCAGTCTTCAGCCGACGGAGCGACGCCCTCATCTGTTCCATGTAGTTCGGAACGCGCTCTCCACTGCGGCCACCGATACCACGCGACATACTCCCGCCTAAAGAAAGGCTATGATCCGGTCGCAACGGACCCAGGATATGAATATCTGGACACTAAATTAATGTACAATTCCATATCATAATTTCTCCATCGAGATATATCACATAAAATTTCATAGTTATTTATATCACCATTATATTGATAGTAGGCAACTAACGTAGGCAACTTGGTCACCCACTCCTGTTCCCTTCCCTCTTCCGTATTGTCAAGGCCATGACTGCATTCTCCAACCCGTCAACAGCAGCAGACAACGACGTATCTTCTTGCCACGACGATACTCGAACTGAACCACCAATGCACCCCTCGACGCAGCTTCATTTCCTCACTCCCAGCCAACGTGTTGAGGCTTCTTGTGAGTATTCTTATGTCACACGCTGCCTCCTCCATTTCCTTTCGACATCGCCGTTCCGAAGGACATGCCTGACACGAAGTTCGACTACCGACCGAGCTGAAAACTGAGGCACATCAAACTTCGGCTCCCTCATTATCCGATCTCGGGGAATATTCTGAAGTGAGGTTTCGTATACCCTCAACAGTTTGCATCCAAATTCACCCTCTCGGTTCGCACGAGGCGATCCAGCAACCCAATAGCCGTTTTACTTTCCCTTAAGAGGTCGTCAAGCCGAGCTGACATCATGGACTGGGACATCCGCACAGATCGAACTAACACCGCGAAGTCAATGCCTCTCTTCTCAACACTAACTCCACATCGGCTAAGCAATCCACGAAGATCCTCCCCTATAAGACTACTTGACAACTGCTTCCTCTCAACGGGAAATCACACAAGTTGGCGCCAAATTCCTCATGAATCACTTTCGTCCGTTGAATTCACGCGACTAAACTCAAATCAATAACTATGGGGTGATGGATAGTAAACGTTCGTGTTGCTGATACAACACGAGAGGATCCAACGAAAAGCAGGTCACTTCTTGCTGACCAGATTGCTCTTCTTGGACAGGTACGTTGCAGGGATGCTCGTGAGCACGAGATCACCAACGTGTCGGTCAGTACGCTGAAAGTTAAAACAATCAATACATCGCCCCTTACACGCTCGCGATTCTCCATGGGACCTCACACGCGAGTAACCATACATACATCGACCGAACCTCAACTGCCCATCGGGAACTCTACCATCGCCGGTGATTTTATCGTTCTTAGCAGAATCAGACGATCATCCCTAGCTGAATATTCCACTCCAGACGGTCGTCTTCAAAATTCCACTTCACAACCCCCGTATGATGAAAAATGCAAAGTATCGACAAGGAAGTAGATACAAAATATGTATCACGCGTCCCCTAGATTTGTTTGCTGCATATAGGAGCGTAACCAACCTGCATCATCACGTGTGAGAAATCAAAAGATGCGACAGATCGTCAAGAACAGCCCCAAGAGCTGCACATATCAAATTTTCTTCCCTTGTCGATGATAATAACCTCCTAATTGGTATTACCTCATCACTCATGTTCTCTATCCTCCACTGCCTAACACACTCTTGTCGTAGTGCTTTCCACGGCATCTTCCTTCCTTCCTGCTTATCAAGGACGTCCTCAACAATCTTCTCTAATCTTCTCTTACCAAGAACACCTCCTCGAACAAACCTGAAGGCAATCTATGTCTCGGAGCATCACCCATAATTTACACGCTTTCGAACATCTCGAAAAACTTAGCTGAGGTCAACAGGTAATTGACTCAAGGAGAAACCGAAAATGATGTGAGGCTTATGTTAGTTCAAATAGAAGTCACGTAAGTAACCCGTTACTACCCTCGATAGAGACGGTTGTCAGGCATGTGCTGATCTTCGAATCGTTTAGTTCGCAACACTGCGGTCGTGCCTGAGGGTTCCGAATACACCCGCGTAGGTATGTCGACAAGCCAGCCCTACCAGGAGTTCCCTTCACTCTTCCCAGACCTCCTCGACGACCACGTTTGCTCATCCCCTCCGACAGATGGTCATGTAATGAGATTAGTCGTGAATCCTCCATAGTCAATAACTGACAGTCTGCCACTTACAACGAACGAGGTTAACGTTGATCAACACACTACTGGACGATTACTGGCCTATAATTCAAAACGATAGGAGGAGTAGCTGCCCTCGAGCCTATCACTCGCGAGAAATTCGGGTGAAAATATTTCACTTCGCAGACGATTAAGCGAATAGGCCTTGAATGGTAAACGTGACGCATGGAGAGATTCTGACAAAGCATGCTACACTAACCTACAAGTGGAAGACTCGCTATGCCTCTCTCATATAATATACTACTATCACGCCCTGAGAGCTCATGTCTTCTGTGATTTCGCAAGCACCGAAAAAATTAATAGAAATATCAATTCCTGGAATTGAACCCGGGACCTCTGTGACCTCATCTCTGGCGATGCGGGCCTGCTGTCACCAACGACCGGGCCTGCTGACACCAGCAGTCGCGCACGCCCAATTTTTTTTAGCACGCGAATTGTGTGACGCACTCCGCGGCCTACGGCCGCGGACTCCAGGGCCTAATGTCCACAGTGAATCAGAGAAATTTAGCATCACTGTCTATTACTGGTATTTCAGGTTCTGCTGCACTTGAGCCAGTGCGCGGATCTATGATTCAAATTCAAACTATCCAACACAGTTACCAATAATCCACAAGTGATACTAAGTTCCGGAACTGTCACCAGATGAGTGTATACGCTGCACTTGAGCCAGTGCGGTGGCTCTAGGGCTCGGCTTCGGATAACCAAACACAATTACCGATACTCTACAAGTGATACTTGGTTCCGGAACTGTAACCAGATAGGTGTATATGCTGCACTTGAGCCAGTGCGGTGGATCTATGATTCAAATTCAAACTATCCAACACAGTTACCAATAATCCACAAGTGATACTAAGTTCCGGAACTGTCACCAGATGAGTGTATACGCTGCACTTGAGCCAGTGCGGTGGCTCTAGGGCTCGGCTTCGGATAACCAAACACAATTACCGATACTCTACAAGTGATACTTGGTTCCGGAACTGTAACCAGATAGGTGTATATGCTGCACTTGAGCCAGTGCGGTGGATCTATGATTCAAATTCAAACTATCCAACACAGTTACCAATAATCCACAAGTGATACTAAGTTCCGGAACTGTCACCAGATGAGTGTATACGCTGCACTTGAGCCAGTGCGGTGGCTCTAGGGCTCGGCTTCGGATAACCAAACACAATTACCGATACTCTACAAGTGATGCTTGGTTCCGGAACTGTAACCAAATAAGTGTATATGCTGCACTTGAGCCAGTGCGGTGGCTCTAGGGCTCGGCTTCGGATAACCAAACACAATTACCGATACTCTACAAGTGATACTTGGTTCCGGAACTGTAAGCAGATAAATGTATATGCTGCACTTGAGCCAGTGCGGTGGATCTATGACTCGGCTTCAGATAACCAAACACAACTACCGATACTCTACAAGTGATACTTGGTTCCGGAACTGTAACCAGATAGGTGTATATGCTGCACTTTAGCCAGTGTGGTGGATCTATGATTCGGATTCAAATTATCCAACACAGTTACCAATATTCCACAAGTGATGCTAAGTTCCGGAACTGTAACCAGATGAGTGTATATGCTATAGTTGAGACACAGCAGTGGGTCTATAACTCGGCTTCAGATAACCAAACACAATTACCGATACTCTACAAGTGATACTTGGTTCCGGAACTGTAACCAGATAAATGTATATGCTGCACTTGAGCCAGTGCGGTGGATCTATGATTCGAATTCAATTTATCCAACACAGTTAGCAATGATCCTTAAGTGATACTGGGTTCCGGAATCGCAACCAGATAAATGTATATGCTATTATTGAGACACTGCGGTGGATCTATAACTCGGCTTCAGATAACCAAACACAATTACCGACACTCTACAAGTGATACTTGGTTCCGGAACTGTAACCAGATAAGTGTATATGCTGCACTTTAGCCAGTGTGGTGGATCTATGATTCGGATTCAAGTTATCCAACACAGTTACCAGTATTCCACAAGTGATGCTAAGTTCCGGAACTGTAACCAGATGAGTGTATATGCTATAGTTGAGACACTGCGGTGGATCTATAACTCGGCTTCAGATAACCAAACACAATTACCGATACTCTACAAGTGATACTTGGTTCCGGAACTGTAACCAGATAAGTGTATATGCTGCACTTGAGCCAGTGTGGTGGATCTATGATTCGGATTCAAATTATCCAACACAGTTACCAATATTCCACAAGTGATGCTAAGTTCCGGAACTGTAACCAGATGAGTGTATATGCTATAGTTGAGACACTGCGGTGGATCTATAACTCGGCTTCAGATAACCAAACACAATTACCGATACTCTACAAGTGATACTTGGTTCCGGAATTATAATCAGATAAGTGTATATGCTGCACTTGAGCAAGTGTGGTGGATCTATGATTCGGATTCAAATTATCCAACACAGTTACCAATATTCCACAAGTGATGCTAAGTTCTGGAACTGTAACCAGATGAGTGTATACGCTGCACTTGAGCCAATGTGGTGGCTCTAGGGCTCGGCTTTAGATTCCCAAACACAATTACCGATATTCTACGAGTGATACTAGGTTCCGGAATCGCAACCAGATAAATGTATATGCTATAGTTGAGACACAGCGGTGGGTCTATAACTCGGCTTCAGATAACCAAACACAATTACCGATACTCTACAAGTGATACTTGGTTCCGGAACTGTAAGCAGATAAATGTATATGCTGCACTTGAGCCAGTGCGGTGGATCTATGACTCGGCTTCAGATAACCAAACACAACTACCGATACTCTACAAGTGATACTTGGTTCCGGAACTGTAACCAGATAGGTGTATATGCTGCACTTTAGCCAGTGTGGTGGATCTATGATTCGGATTCAAATTATCCAACACAGTTACCAATATTCCACAAGTGATGCTAAGTTCCGGAACTGTAACCAGATGAGTGTATATGCTATAGTTGAGACACTGCGGTGGATCTATAACTCGGCTTCAGATAACCAGACACAATTACCGATACTCTACAAGTGATACTTGGTTCCGGAATTATAATCAGATAAGTGTATATGCTGCACTTGAGCAAGTGTGGTGGATCTATGATTCGGATTCAAATTATCCAACACAGTTACCAATATTCCACAAGTGATACTAGGTTCCGGAATCGCAACCAGATAAATGTATATGCTATAGTTGAGACACAGCGGTGGGTCTATAACTCGGCTTCAGATAACCAAACACAATTACCGATATTCTACAAGTGATACTTGGTTCCGGAACTGTAACCAGATAAATGTATATGCTGCACTTGAGCCAGTGCGGTGGATCTATGATTCGGATTCAAATTATCCAACACAGTTACCAATGATCCTTAAGTGATACTGGGTTCCGGAATCGCAACCAGATAAATGTATATGCTATGGTTGAGACACTGCGGTGGATCTATAACTCGGCTTCAGATAACCAAACACAATTACCGATACTCTACAAGTGATACTTGGTTCCGGAACTGTAACCAGATAGGTGTATATGCTGCACTTGAGCAAGTGTGGTGGATCTATCATTCGGATTCAAATTATCCAACACAGTTACCAATATTTCACAAGTGACGCCAAGTTCCGGAACTGTAACCAGATGAGTGTATACGCTGCACTTGAGCCAGTGCGGTGGCTCTAGGGCTCGGCTTTAGATTACCAAACACAATTACCGAGATTCTGCGAGTGATACTAGGTTCCGGAATCGCAACCAGATAAATGTATATGCTATAGTTGAGACACAGCAGTGGGTCTATAACTCGGCTTCAGATAACCAAACACAATCACCGATACTCTACAAGTGATACTTGGTTCCGGAACTGTAACCAGATAAATGTATATGCTATACTTGAGACACTGCGGTGGATCTATAACTCGGCTTCAGATAACCAAACACAATTACCGATACTCTACAAGTGATACTTGGTTCCGGAACTGTAACCAGATAAGTGTATATGCTGCACTTTAGCCAGTGTGGTGGATCTATGATTCGGATTCAAGTTATCCAACACAGTTACCAGTATTCCACAAGTGATGCTAAGTTCCGGAACTGTAACCAGATGAGTGTATATGCTATAGTTGAGACACTGCGGTGGATCTATAACTCGGCTTCAGATAACCAAACACAATTACCGATACTCTACAAGTGATACTTGGTTCCGGAACTATAATCAGATAAGTGTATATGCTGCACTTGAGCAAGTGTGGTGGATCTATGATTCGGATTCAAATTATCCAACACAGTTACCAATATTCCACAAGTGATGCTAAGTTCTGGAACTGTAACCAGATGAGTGTATACGCTGCACTTGAGCCAATGTGGTGGCTCTAGGGCTCGGCTCTAGATTCCCAAACACAATTACCGATATTCTACGAGTGATACTAGGTTCCGGAATCGTAACCAGATAAATGTATATGCTATAGTTGAGACACAGCGGTGGGTCTCTAACTCGGCTTCAGATAACCAAACACAATTACCGATACTCTACAAGTGATACTTGGTTCCGGAACTGTAACCAGATAAATGTATATGCTGCACTTGAGCCAGTGCGGTGGATCTATGATTCAGATTCAAATTATCCAACACAGTTACCAATGATCCACGAGTGATACTTGGTTCCGGAACTGTAACCAGATGAGTGTATATGCTATAGTTGAGACACTGCGGTGGATCTATAACTCGGCTTCAGATAACCAAACACAATTACCGATACTCTACAAGTGATACTTGGTTCCGGAACTATAATCAGATAAGTGTATATGCTGCACTTGAGCAAGTGTGGTGGATCTATGATTCGGATTCAAATTATCCAACACAGTTACCAATATTCCACAAGTGATGCTAAGTTCTGGAACTGTAACCAGATGAGTGTATACGCTGCACTTGAGCCAATGTGGTGGGTCTAGCGCTCGGCTTTAGATTCCCAAACACAATTACCGATACTCTACAAGTGATACTTGGTTCCGGAACTGTAACCAGATAAGTGTATATGTTGCACTTGAGCAAGTGTGGTGGATCTACGATTCGGATTCAAATTATTCAACACAGTTACCAATATTCCACAAGTGATTCTGAGTTCTGGAACTGTAACCAGATGAATGTATACGCTGCACTTGCACTTACTGAAACTCTCCGTATGGGAAAAGGCAGATTAAAAGGATAGGACCACATTTTTTCATGAGATATTCAAATGCACGAAAAATGCGAGAAAATGCGCGGGGGGCGCGACACAACCAACATGGAGTCAAAAACGGTGGGTATCGTCGGTGCCAGACCTATAACAAAGCGAACCCGGCGCGGCCGTAGGCCGCGCACCCCCTCGGACATCGCCGCGACCGTAGGTCGCGTGTGGGAGAAACTGGGAGATAGTGGGAGGCCGTGGGAGTTCTTTGGTGTCAGCAGGCCCGGTCTTTGGTGACAGGAGGCCCGCCGGCCTCATCTCTGACTTGTAACTTGTTTCTCTAAAGCAAATCCCCGATGACTATGGCGATTTTGGCAGTGGTTGTTCATCGACATGTCACAAGCCCCGACCAAGAAGCGTCGAGTGATATGCTCGGGTTGCGAGCGGCCCGAATCCGTTTGCATCTGCAGCTCCTTTCCAGCAGAGCCTTTGTCGCTGCCAGCAGGAGTTGATTCTGTCGTTGTTCTCATGCACCCTAGCGAGCGGAAGCGAAAAAACCGCACCGTCGACTTGGTCGCCACAAAGTGCCTCAGAGGAGTTCACGTTGTTGTTGGTCGTCGCATCTTGGCCGACACATTGCCGATCGATTCTCCGCTCCAGGCGGTGCTGAAGAATCCTGAAGAATGTGCTTTGATCTATCCCACTGAGGATGCCGAGACGGTTCACGCTCAACACAGTGGTGACTCCAAAATACGACATCTTATATTTCTTGATGCCACATGGAAGTACGCCAAGGAGATGTATGCATCGTCACCGCCACTTGTCGCCCTCAAGCACAAGTGGGTGTTGAAGCCCGACAAGGAAGGAGCATTCGTGATTCGGAAAGAGCCTCTTGCGAACGCAGGACTATTGTCAACTGCCGAGGCCATCGCTTTCGCCCTCGACGCCCTCTCGACCGACCATTCACGACTTCCTGTAGTGCGAGAGGTGCTGACACGGTTTTCCGAGATACAAATATCGCGTACTGAGCATGTGATCCACCATCGAGAGAAGAAGAACTATGTCGAGAACCTCTACGATCTGGGAGAGAGGTCCGCTAAGTAATTGTGATGTCTCTGGTTAACGTATACGATCTCCGCTTGCTCGATTTGAGTGTTTCATTCACTTCCACAGAATTGAGTTGATAATATGCAAAGTAACGTTTATTCTGCGGTAACGATTTCCGAGTCAGCACAGGCCTTCATGGAGACCTCAAGTGCTTCCAACCTTCTGAGAGTGAATACTTTTATGAATTGAAGTGGCCGGTTCCCTGCAAACGGGAGTGCGAGGCTAACCCGCTAAACACGGCTCCTTCACCGTTCTATATGATAATGATTCAGCGCACGAAACAGAGCTCGCAATTAGAATATGTACTTGGCGATTGCCGTCAAGAAACTACTCACCCAGGCATAGCAGCGCAACAATATACGAGCTTGGCCGTGCGAACCAGTGCCCGTCTGGCACTGCCAGATGCCAAACTCCACGTGAGTGCAAAGTGAACAGTTCATACGATGCCGATTGTAACGATTCCCGTATGATGGGCGGAGCGTTGGCGATAATGGTGACGTGCGTAGTGATGATGATGAACGGTTGATCCAGATGATAATAGTGGGACGTGTGATGTATCAGCGCATTGCGCGAAAAAGGGAATCACAATGTGAATTTTTATTCAAAGCTACAGCGCAGAACTCTTTGTAAACAGATGCGTTCAAGTACACTAGCAGAGTTTGGTAGGTAGCGAGCCAATGGAATAAACGACACCCCTTTTACTGGACACTGCGCAAAACTTCTGATCCTGGAGGAACGTTAACATACTCATTCAGAGTAGTAATAGCTGCCACTCAATAGACCTTCCTGATGAGGAGGTAGAGACGATCATCGAGACGAATAGACTCGTCCACATCGCTCCTCTGTGCCTCCAACTTCATCAAAAGTCCACCAAAAGAGACGTATCTACAACCAGACTCTCCACATCGATACCTTTCCACAATCAGCGCGGCACAATCACCCATGACTGCTTGACTCAGTTCTTACATGATAGTGCGCGAAGCAACGGTCTCAGTTCCCACAGTCTTGTTCATCTTCTTGTAAACCTGAGAATGCTCATAGCCCTCACTCCCCTGAATTCCCCCTCGCCACTACCTTGCCGTACATAGCATACTCGTAATCGTCAATAATACCTGGCTGGGCAGACTCTCCCTGGTAGCCCTCATTGGCGTCAGCGGCCGAGGCAATAGCGATTCGCAACTGAAGACAGCAACATACTTAACTCACGAACGCCTCTCTTCACATAATATCTAGCTCATCATCACCACAAACAATGAAAGTGACCAACATCCAGACTACCGTGTCGCTGCTGCCGATTGGGTAGATCTCGGTGTTGATGTCAACCTCAATCTCTGCATTGTAAGTGTGTGACTGCGCCTTGATTCGAGATACTGAAGGAAACACTGGTGAGATTCTCGACACTCGGAGAGACTACCCCGGTCAAACTTCTCATCATCGATGTTCTTAACATCGAACATGTCATCGAAAATAGCAGACATTATGCACGGAGATGATCAAGTAATCGGATACCACCCAACTGCACAGCAAGAATATCCCCTATCAACAAAGCCAACCGCTGAGTAGTACTACTTCAGCGACTGAATCGCCTTCACAGTCCCCAAATAAACGATCACCCACGAACCGACTATGGCCCAGCCCAACGCAAGCAAATTCGATGGGAAACAGAGGCTGCTTGCGTGCCATCATGTCGTACAAAAATGATCGTGCTGCAAAACTATCATGCGATGCTCCTATGAGCACATTATGTTCACTTCTTCATTCTCGACAAGCAGTCCGCCGCCACCCATCACGATTTTGATTCTGAACACAGACCGGCGTCCCATTAGAGTCCAGGGCGATGCGCCGCTCGAAAACTTCACAGACCGCAATAGTGCCCGACCTTCCTCTTATGCCTAGCAATAAGCTCCTCTTTCAACTTATCAGTTTTTCTCGCTAGCGCCTCCAACTCCCTTTCGTTAGCCTGATATGCTACAGAGAGAACACCAGCCCACCGAAAGGCTTCTGATTTCTCCACGAAATAATCTTACCTGCAGTTGCGCTGCGTTCGCGAAAAAGCCGCGCTCCATCTGAGCAAGTTCATCCAAACTCTCATCGGGCACCGCCTGAGCCGATAGCAGACCGATCCGACCATCCCAGAATGCTATTACTGTCTCCTTCCCTGCCACAGAACTCCCACTCTGTCTGCGCTGTCGAAAGTCGCCAATATACTCTTGCATCACGTCAAGGTGCTGCGCGAGTTGGTCCAGCTCCTGAGCTCCAGGATGAAGTGTGCTGGCGCATTCCCCTACATTCTTTTCTCGCCGTAAGCAATCCTTACGACCGTCGATTCCATGAGCTCTGGTACTTCTCACAGACCCCATTTGGTGATTGGTTCCGCTCAGTCTGTCCAGTGTCACCACCAATTGGCGTTCCAAATCCTCTCGCTGACAGCAAAAGCAGCTCCTCACAAGAAGGCTAAGCCTATCGTCTTGGTCTTCATAGCCCGATTGCACACCGAGACGGCATGACGCTCACCTTCTGCCATGTTTCTCGTTCGCCATTTGTAAGGTCGGTCATAATGTCGGGAACCTAGGAAATATAAAAATGCCAACATACCCAGACCGAATTTTCTCAATGCACCGTAATGCGAGGAGTACGATCTAATGACCGCCCCTTTGTGGGAGAGGCGCACGCGTAAGCCCTAGCTCCACTCAGGAGCTACTAACCTCGTCAAGCACTTTCTCATAGACATCTAAATCGGAATGAGCGACTTCCAGTGAGTGCTGGCAGCTCCTAACTCGGCGACGCACTGTAGCGAGATTCGACTTGGCCGCACTCATAGCAGCGTTGAGCTGAATGGCAGTACAATAGGACCGATTCAATACTCGCACGCACTAACTTCGCGATGTTCTAACGAAAAAGCAGCACCTGTCTTAGGGCGGCCACTGGATGCATTCAAATATTGGGAAGAGTGCAAACGCACCCGTTCACCTTCCTCTTCGTTGCTCGACGAGACATCAGCTGCTCTTGCAGACTTTTCCTTTCTCTCTCATGCTCTTCTTTACACTTTCGTAACTTCCCCTGCGCTGATTCCTCCACACTTCGCAACGAAGCAACCTAACTGAAAGGCATAAGGAACAGGAGTCTGAACTTCCCACTTAACCTCATCCCGACGATCAACGAGGGCGGACTCTCGCATCTCAATATCAACCTCCAGCTTTCTTAGTTCGCCTAAGCATCGCCATCCTGCTCCCACCCATTCCGATTGAATACTACCAGCAAACCGTTCTTCCTCGTCAAGCCGTGCTTCAGAACGCTTCAGCTCTCCTCGAGCTTCGGTTACTGCTACCGATAAGTCGTCCGATAATATCCGGAGCGCAGCTTGACTGATAAACCGCTAAGATTCTTTGATAAATCGCTATACCCACGAAAAGGAAGAATTCCATGTTACGATGTGCATCCAAAATTCGCGAAGTTTTCCTATTGTAAGTGGCTACTTGAGAATAGACGTGCTTTCCTAACATTTGGAACGTCAATACAACTTCGTCACCCTCCCGATAAAATTAATCAGAATAGATGTTCGCTTTCCTCAGCTGAGCTCAGGCGATTTCTCACATATTTTAGAAGCTTGCAGTAGAGGTGTTGAGAAACCGACAAGAATTTCCCGAAATTTCCATATCTTCTGCAACACATGTAGTTAATCATGTACATGTTTTCCCACACCAACACTGATAATGCCAGGCCTTTCGCCACTCACCCTGCAGCAGCCAACTTGCCTCTGTTAACAGCACATCGCCTTCTCTTCACATCGTCGCTAATAAGATGCTCGAGACGAGACTAATTATAGATCGGCAGAAATGTGTACAAGAAATTTTTCAGATCTTACCTTGCACAGTATAAGCTGTTCCTTCGCGCCACACTTGCACTTGCTATCCAGAAGCCTATCAACCAAAGTTGTCAGTGTCGAGAAGCCCGAGTGGATGCTGCTCACTTCTTGAGAGTCTACAAATAGAAATACTAGGCCAGCCTCACGGCGTTAGTTATACAGCTATACGCAACGAAGACGGATAACCAGCGCGATCCGGAATGTATCTGTGTACTACCTCCTACAGTAGACACCTCCGCTCTTAGCATCAAGTTCCCCTTGTTCAGCGCTCCATTCCAGCAGCATGCGCCAGAACTCCTAACAAAGCGAAGAGTTATTGGCGTTTCCTGGCTGATCTAGCTCGAGTGGAGCTATAATTCGCAGAAACCACGGATTGAAGAGAAGACTGTGCTCGAGAAAACCTCCCTACAAAAGTTGGTGATGGTTATGCCTTGCCGTAGCATTGCTACGGTTAACCGCCGGTACCTGAGAGCATATCCTGCGGGGACCTCGCAGAATTGTTGTTACCCGCAGCCAACCGTTACGGCCTGCTGATCGTTGAGCCATGTATGCGGACAGTCAAACTAGAACAATCCTCCGTGAGGACCCGCGTCTTCACGTGAGCTTCAGATCAATGAAAATTCAGTCCCTGACCTGTATGCTCATCTATTATTAGTATAACTGACCTCATTATTCTGCCTATCCGGGGTTGCGTGAATTTAAATAGTAATCGATTACTATGGCGCACGCGAGAACATAAATCGGACATGCGAAGTAAGGCAAAGGTGTTACGGGAACCCCAGATACTAGTGCGGGACCGTAAGTCAAAGCCAGAGTCCAAGGTGAATCTTTCGACGGTTTCACTGGAGACGAAACCATTAATGAAGTACATATGGTATGATGATGATAAGTGCTGCTCGTCTCAACGGCCTGACGGACATAGGCCTTGCGTCAGAAACTGGTGTGATTGCCAATAGCTCAAATAAGCTATCACTCGCGAGGAACTGCACGTGGCTTACAACTGCGACGCATCATCTACGCAAAGTCCAGACTATTTTCAAGCTCTCGAGAGTGCAAATGCAGCTCCTGGTCCGCCCCGTGGTGAGTTGCCATTGTCTGACACTTGAGACTTCAGAATGCGATCTCTTACCTGAGAACACTGAGGATATTCCGTTGCCAAAGCGCTTTGACATCGACCACTCGGAGACGTGCTCAATCCAGTTCGCGTTTGGTGGCGCAGGGTGGACAGAAGATCCAGTGATCACAGTTGATGCTAACAATGCGTTCTTGAGTCAAGGTGTCCTGACGCTTGCTGCTATGAAAGTTAACTGGTATCAGACGAACCATCACACTGGCTCGTTCACGGCAGCCACGAATCGATCCAAAACCAGCTACTTCCTTAAAGTGATCCGTTCTCAGGCTGAGATGTTCGCGTGATCGGCGTTCTGCATGGCCTAGGTCACGCTATCCCCACTGGTGGAGCTATGAAGGATTGGTACTGTGACGGGAGCTCAAGATAGTGCCAATTTCCCAGCTCTTACCAATGATGCTAAGCTAAGACTCGCATCCATGCCAGCAAGGGTGGATAAGTTAGCTCTTGCACCCGCCGGGTTGCGTATAATAGCGATGAGCCCGTTGAACGGTAACATTAGGGTCACGAGCCAAGCTAATGTGGCAGAATTACTCGATGCTGAGGCGGGGGTTATTCGTGAGAGTGCACGTTTCCATGTTGCATCGAAATATCGAACTGGCCTTGAGAGGCGTCTGATAGGAGATGCATGAGTGAGCAATGAGATTCTGGTATCTATTATGGCCAACGTTGCGGCTCTCGATGAATTCACAACTTTACTTGCATCACCAAGGATTTCTCCTATTGATGAGCTGAAGATCAGGACGGAAATTCAGTGCGTGGCGGGTAATATCATCTTCTTCGATCAGCTAGTGAGCAAGATGTCGTTATAAATCGAAACTAGGATCACCACCTTCCATCTAACCGCTCCATTCAGATGCATACATGAAATCATAGAAATAACCCGAGTGAAATCACACAACCGGGATCACGGCGTCGCTACCAAATACATCATGAAGCTAGTGGTACCGACCTCTCCACACTATTTGACATACACTCACGGCTCATGTTACAGTTCATGCATTCGATTGGTAGATCAATAATTGATTAGACTAGATTATACTCATTCACATAACATCGGAGTAAACCGGGTTTACTTAACCCCCGCAAGTTGAGACTGATTATTTCGTATTCCTGACTATCCAGCTGAGTCTGGTGGTTCGAGCTTTTGGCACTTTTGATTCGGCGCTGGTATGGTGGTCTATCGTGAAGAGGTAGAGAGTTATTTTTAACTGACGGCGGAACTCCTACCCCGTCAATATTGACGACTGAATACTAGATATAGTGTTAGAGTGAGTGTTGTGGTTTAATCACTAAACTTCAGCGATAGACTCGCAGAGACAGAGAGAAAACAAGAGATGGAGCAGCACAATTGCGAAGATCGATCACCCCATCCCATCACCAGGCTGCCCCTACGGGGAGACAGGCGGTATGTCAGTGGCTACGCAAGATATGTTATTGGAGCCAGCGCCGCGTTGGCAGCGCGACGCCTCGCCGAAATATGATAGGAGTGTCGGTGACCAGTGAGTACATCAAGTAGGTGCAACAAACGTGAGTAACAAAGACGAGACAGCCTAGCCCAAAGCTAACACGAAGCTTTATATAGCCAAGTCTCATGGTCTTGATGAACTAACCATTAAAGATGACCGCCAATAAACGCTCCAGTAACTGGAATAATTATCGGCCTCGTAGGCGGGCCAGAACCTCCTCGCCTACTTCACCCGCTCCATCACCTATGTATCCTGATAGTAACACGTGGGAAGCACTTAGGTGTTACACTACGTCATTTCTGGAAGACGTCTTCGCTTTGACAGGGAGAACAGTGGTCATGAGGCGACCCCAAGACCGTTCTCCCTTGGAGGCCCCATTGGGGCCCGTCCCCACGGCCGAGCAAGGAAGACTTTCAGGTAAGTTCCTTCTTCCCTGCCTTTGTATTCTCCTTGCCTTCAGGTGTCCGCCAATCCGTTCTCTCGACTCTTCCCACTACTACTACTACTACACTCACCACTCCCTCACAGCCGAGTCCGCCCCCTACTACTAGTACTGCCCCGTTGCAATTAAGTTCTACTACTACTACTATCATCCCACCACAGCCGAGTCCAACTCCTACTCCTAGTACCACTCCTACTACTACTATCATCCCACCACAGCCAAGTCCGACCCCTACTACTAGTACCACTCCTGCTGCTACTATCATCCCACCACAGCCGAGTCCGACCCCTACTACTAGTACCACTCCTGCTGCTACTATCATCCCACCACAGCCGAGTCCGACCCCTACTCCTAGTACCACTCCTGCTGCTACTATCATCCCACCACAGCCGAGTCCGACCCCTACTACTAGTACCACTCCTGCTGCTACTATCATGCCACCACAGCCGAGTCCAACTCCTACTTCTAGTACCACTCCTACTACTACTATCATGCCACCACAGCCGAGTCCAACTCCTACTCCTAGTACCACTCCTACTACTACTACTATCATGCCACCACAGCCGAGTCCAACTCCTACTCCTAGTACCACTCCTACTACTACTACTATCATGCCACCACAGCCGAGTCCAACTCCTACTCCTAGTACCACTCCTACTACTACTATCATCCCACCACAGCCGAGTCCGACTCCCGCTGGTACTACGATATCATCACATCCAAGTCAGCCTCCTTCTACTACAACTGATCCAGCTAAGTCAAGCTCTACTGCTGTCTCTGCTGAGCTGGCAGAGTTAAGGTCTGACCTCAGAGCTCTCACTGCTCTTGTAGGTCGCTTGGTGGCTGCTCAAGCACCTACATCTTCGTCCCCTTCCCTTTACCCTACTCCCGCTGAGGAGGGTATGGATGATGTTAAGGAATCATAGCAGCACCTATCATATCGTTTCTTGCGTTTGAGGTGTTAGTTGTGGGTATCGAACCTGGGTCTACCGATAGGAAATTCACACACTTACCATTAGCTAATTTAGTACTACTGAACCATCGATTCTACTAGGACAAGCTGTACCATCCAGTGCACCTCGGTACATTTCTTTCAAATACATTTTTGCCAAATACTCCTATATCGAGGTTGAAAGGCATCTGGGAGCTGGTCCATGAGTCTCAGGCTCTCCTTCCAGGCTGGTTCCAGCAGACCTATTCCCCAGCTATGTTTGGGCTGCTCAAACACAACGCCAGCAGGGTAGCAAGGATCTAGTAGGATGTCGAACAATTAGATAAGGTAGTCCAACTAGCAGAAAAGCATCCCTGTTTACCCAGACAGAGCTGCTATCTCCGAAAGAGGCACCCCAGGTTCGCAACCTGTGAAACCTCTGATCTGCGAGTTCGGGAGGGGCAGTGGTCGAAAACCACAACACGGAACCCGTAAACTGGGTCCGTGATTTGTAGCTTTCGGCAACTGCAAGGTGGATGATCTCTCGTGGCCGGTTTTCTAACGCAAACCAGGGCCGAGGTGAACAACTACCTCTCGCTAGACCTCGGTTAAATAAGGGAGATAAAAAAAATATGAGCAAAGACCCGAGTATAGCTCGCGTTCTTTGTAGAGGCTGGCACGCTCTGGACATGCTCGAATGAAACGGGCAAGTTCTCGATCGCCTCAGCGCTGGGGGATCCGCACTATGATAGGGAAGTGTGACACCCAATTTCATCCTAGTTGGGTTCGTTGCACAGCAGCTGTGCAACGAATCCATTGACAGTGTCAATGGATGTCAATTTGACACCCACGTAGCTGCTACGTGGGTGTCAATGGAACAATGTCGAAGGTATTGGTAGGATCGAGCTTGATTGGACCGTTTTTGGATGATTATGGACCGACTAACCGCGATTGCTACCTCCTCCCGCACTCCATGGGATTTCATGCTTGCGAAAAGAGATGTTGAGGAAAGTCAATCAGTGGCAAGATTGCTAGATTTATAGCGGTTTCTCTATTCGCTCAGTTTCCTTCGCGTGTCACCGAATCCGTGATAGCTTGCGGGCTCTACCGCCGGGGTAGATTTGGTCGCATAAAGCGCAGTTGGGAAGTTGGGATTTGTCAACTTAGGCAGGTGCTCTCCTCACCGCTAATCTGAAGGCTTTTGGCAGTAATTTGCTGAGTCCTAATTATGTGTGGTATCTTCGCGTATTTGGGCGACAGACAGGCACTTCCTTGCCTAATCACGGCTCTCAAGCGATTGGAGTATAGAGGTTATGATTCAGCCGGGATTGGTATTCATAACGGTAAGCATATAAAGATATGTAAGAAGATTGGAAAGGTGGTAAACCTTGAAACTGCTTGTGGTGGTGTCAACAACCCGGAGTATGCCGGTACCATGGGTATTGCTCATACTCGTTGGGCTACCCATGGCGCTCCCACCGACGCCAACGCTCATCCTCACTTTACTGAGGATCATAAGGTTGCTGTGGTCCATAATGGTATCATTGAGAACTACGCCAGTCTTCGTGAGGAGCTTATCAAAAAAGGGTATCATTTCACCTCGGAGACCGACACTGAGCTTCTTGCTCACCTGGTTGCTGATGTCCGTAAGCAGATGGGCCCTGACCCTTCATGGTCTGTTATTGTCTCGTGTGCATTAAGCATTGTGACGGGTGCCTACGGCGTTGTCTTTATATTCGAAGACGAGCCTGGCCTCATGGTCGGTGCTCGCAAGGGTTCCCCCCTTATTTTAGGCGTTGGTGAAGGCGAATTTATGCTTGCTTCCGATGGATCAGCTGTAGTTGAGTACACAAAAGATGTGGTTTTCATCAGAGATGGAGAGCTTGTCGAAGTGCGCAAGTCCGGTTATCGCTTGAGGACAATTGAAGGCATCAGCGCCAGAGGGATGTCTATTGACGAGGACGTTACCAACCCCTTGGTTCAGCTGGAGGTGTCTCTCGAGCAAATTGAGAAAGGTGGTTATCCTCATTTCATGATTAAGGAGATCATGGATCAGCCTAACTGCATCCGCAACACATGCCGAGGGAGGCTGTATCAACCAATGCAAGAGCAAGAAGGCGATAGCCCTCCAAAATGGGATATTAAGTTGGGTGGTCTCAGCACTAAAGTTCAAGGGACAGATAGAACTGCCTTAGAGACCATCGCTAGTGCCGATCGCATCATCATCTGTGCCTGTGGTACTTCGTGGCACTCCGGCCTCATTGGAGAGTATCTTATTGAACAGCTGGCTCGTATTAACGTTGAAGTGGAGTATGCTTCTGAGTTCCGCTATCGCAACCCTCTTCTCACTTCAAAGGATGTCGTTGTTGCTATTTCCCAGTCTGGTGAAACTGCCGATACGCTCGAGGCTATCCGTATTGCTAAGTCAAATGGTGCACTATCTATCGGTATTGTCAACTGTGTTGGCTCAACTATAGCCCGTGATACTGATGCAGGCATTTACCTCCATGCTGGCCCCGAGATCGGTGTCGCCTCCACCAAGGCTTTCACCTCCCAGGTTATGGTACTGACTCTTTTAGCCTTGACCTTGGCACGTCAACGTTACACAATCGAGGAGGAGTACTTCTACACGCTTTGTGAAGAACTTCATAACTTCCCCCAGTATATCTCGACTGTTCTGAACACGGCGAGCCAGGTCAAGACTATATCTAAATTCTTCCGCATGGCTCATAACTTCCTTTTCCTCGGCCGGGGAATCCATTTCCCTGTTGCCTTGGAAGGAGCCCTAAAGCTGAAGGAGATTTCTTACATTCATGCTGAGGGTTATCCTGCTGCTGAGATGAAGCATGGTCCCATCGCTTTGATTGACCGTATGATGCCCGTTGTCTGCATTGCTCCCAAAAGTGATCCGACGTATGATAAGGTCAAGGCCAATATCGAAGAGGTTAAGGCTCGTGATGGAGAGCTCATCATAATTACAGAGGAGGGTAACCATGACTTGGATAGATTTGTCAGTGACGAAGAATACATCATAAGGATCCCCTCTGTGGACGTTAATTTAGAACCTATAATCGCTGTTATACCGCTGCAGCTTCTCTCATACTACATTGCAGATCTCAGAGGTTGCTCTATTGACCAGCCACGTAACTTGGCTAAATCTGTTACAGTTGAGTAGACACGCTAGGATAATTTGAACTACCATGTGACGTCCCTGGTTTTTCATGATGTCACGTCTGAGAGTCGTTATCTCTCCATGGCCTATCTGTCATCGTTGGGACAATTCATGATTTTTCTCTAGAGTGTGAGTTTTGTTCGGAGAGCCGATCCTTTCCCATCTTATTTTTCCTCCACGTTTCCGAGGCTCTGTAGGATCATGAGAAACGACTGGGCGCATGGGAATTGTTCAGACAGAATTCACTATGCAGACTCTCATTTGCATCGTCGATACTTTACTCATCCTGTTTGAGATTTAACACAAACCCAACTATTGTTCCGAGTGACCATTCAATGTGATCTTCGCTCCGCCCTGTGGAATCGGCTGAGGCTAGGATAGCGACACAAAAAGGGATAGATGGCCCGTGATCTCTATTTTTGCCTCTCAGTTCCTAGTGTTTCTGAATCTTCCACCTATGTGCGGTATCTTTGCCTACGTTGGAGACCGTCAGGCTCTTCCTTGTCTCATCAAGGCGTTGAAGCGTTTGGAGTACAGGGGTTACGATTCGGCAGGTGTGGGAATTCATAATGGTAAAGAGTTGAAGATTGCCAAGAAGGTCGGCAAGGTCGCTAACCTCGAGGCTTACTGTGGTGGTGTCAACAACCCGGAGTACGCCGGTACCATGGGTATTGCTCATACCCGTTGGGCTACCCATGGCGCTCCCACCGACGCCAACGCTCATCCTCACTTTACCGAGGATCATAAGGTTGCTGTGGTCCATAATGGTATCATCGAGAACTACGCCAGTCTTCGTGAGGAGCTAATCAGTAAAGGGTATCATTTCACTTCAGAGACCGACACCGAACTTCTCGCTCACTTGGTTGCTGATGTTCGTAAGCAAATGGGTCCCGATCCTTCATGGTCCGTTATTGTTTCGTGTGCCTTGAGTCTCGTTACTGGTGCCTACGGTGTTGTCTTCACGTTTGAAGACGAGCCTGACTTGTTGATCGGTGCTCGCAAGGGTTCTCCTCTTATTTTGGGTGTTGGCGATGGTGAGTACATGCTTGCCTCCGATGCCTCTGCGGTTGTCGAGTACACTAAGGATGTTGTTTACATTCGTGATGGTGAGCTTGTTGAGGTCCGCAGGTCGGGTTATCGTCTTCGAAGCATTGATGCAATCAGCACCCGCCAAGTTTCCGTCGATGAGGATATTAACAACAATCCCTTGGTTCAGTTGGAGCTCAATCTCGAGCAGATCGAAAAAGGTGGTTACTCCCATTTCATGCTCAAGGAGATCATGGATCAGCCACGCTGTCTCGAGAACTCTTGTCGTGGTCGGCTCTACAAGGTCAACTCGGATGACACGACCCACGGTTCCAATGGGGTCTCTTCCAAATGGGGAATTCGTTTGGGTGGTTTGGACACTACCGTGCGCGGCACCGATCAAACTGCGTTGGATGCTATATGCGGGGCCGATCGTATTATCATCTGTGCCTGTGGTACTTCGTGGCACTCCGGCCTCATTGGAGAGTATCTCATCGAGCAACTAGCTCGTATCAACGTTGAAGTTGAGTATGCCTCGGAGTTCCGCTATCGCAACCCTCTTCTAACTTCTAAGGATGTTGTTATTGTGATCTCACAGTCTGGTGAAACTGCTGATACCCTCGAGGCCGTCCGTATTGCCCGTGAGTATGGTGCACTGTCTATCGGTATCGTCAACACAGTCGGCTCCACCATTGCGCGTGACACTGATGCTGGAATCTATCTTCATGCTGGCCCGGAAATTGGCGTAGCATCCACGAAGGCCTTCACTTCACAAGTTATGGTTCTCACTCTGCTGTCTCTTCGCTTGGCTCTTGCTCGTGGTACGATTGATACGGAGTATTTTGACACCTTATGTGAGCAACTGTCTCGTTATCCCGAGATCATCCAGCGAGTGCTCAAGTTGAGCTCACAGGTGAAGAACCTGTCGAGGTATTTCCGGCTAGCAAGCAACTTCCTATTCCTCGGGCGTGGTATTCACTACCCTGTCGCTTTGGAAGGCGCGTTGAAATTGAAGGAGATTTCCTACATTCATGCCGAGGGTTATCCTGCTGCTGAGATGAAGCATGGTCCTATCGCATTGATCGATCGCATGATGCCCGTTGTTTGCATTGCCCCTAAGAGTGATCCGACTTACGATAAGGTTAAGGCGAACATCGAGGAGGTCAAAGCTCGTAATGGTGATCTGCTTATCATTACCGAAGAGGGTAACCATGACTTGGACAAGTTCGCCGGAGACAAGGATTTCGTTATCCGTGTGCCGACGGTGGATATTGTCTTACAGCCTATTGTTACTACAATACCGTTGCAAATGCTCTCCTATTACGTTGCTGACCTCCGTGGTTGCTCCATCGATCAGCCTCGTAACCTCGCTAAGTCGGTCACCGTCGAGTAGGATCGTTATTATTAAGTCAATCGTTTTCTTTTTTGTTCTATAGCTTCTCACCCTATGCTGTCATCTTCGGTGGCATCATGGTGTGTTTGAGACATAGATTACTATCTAGTCGTATCCTTAGATGGAGGGCATCTTGGACTCATTTTGCCTGTAAACGGGCCAAAATCGGTCATATACGCTGTAAATGATAATCATACTACGATAGATTGGACGTGATCTCTTGTGTTCGTCAATGGCTTCCGTATCGGAACTTCGCGGCTGTCTTTATTGGAGTCTGGAAATTCCGCTCTGTTGAGGATCAGGTCTCCGTTCATCTGTATTGGCATATCTGTGACTGAATCGTTTTGTGGTGTTCTTATGTTTGATTTTCTAGAACATCAAGGGTTTCAGGAATGGCGGAATGTAGACGTCTCGAAATAGGTTGGTAGGCGTTCAAATCAACTTGCTCAACGCAGTCGCATGCATTCGTCGAGCTAAACGAACCCTGCCTTGGGTCATCAAATACTCACTGATACTGCGCGATCCGTATGGAGAGCGGAGGCATGATCCGCGCTATCCGCAGTCTTTCGAACAGTCAACTTCTCGAAGGAATCCATCGCATCCATTCCGATACGTGCAGTCCGCTGTAACACTCACAGCACTCGGAGCGCTATGATACACTCCGGGCACGCGTTGCATCTCCCAGCACTTCGTGCCCCCAACATGTCGGGGAATTCTACGCCGAACAAAGGTTACGACAGCAAGCTCGGTTACTCAACGCACGAAAGTGTCAATGACTCAGTCATGTCTGTGATGGTTCTGACTGTGTCACTTTTTCAGTCATTGAATCCTCCGTGATCATCGTTTCTTAGGTCAGTAGGTGGAATCGAGAGAAGACCTAGACAATTCAAGTTATGTCGCTTATGATAATGATAATACGAGGGGGAGAGCAATTTAGCATCGAAGTCACACGCGGGTTCACAAGAGCCTCTCCAGTTATCCAGTCTGTTCCCTAATAAATAATTGTGCCAGTCGAATTGTGTTGGTAGTCCGCGACATATTGTCTCCCACTAGGTGATGAGCATTGCACATAACAAGTCAGAAAGCGAAAGAATCCTTCAGCGTTGGCAATGTACGCATGGTTGAATAGCCGAATACAGAGCGTTCCTATAATTAAGATGAATCTAGCAAAGCTAAGTTCAGACCTGGATGAGGGGACAACAGCGAATAACTAAGCTGAGCTGAGGAGATATTGTGCCCTCGACACAAGAAGTGACATTCCATTGATTCCTGTGGAGATCCAGTATCGTGGTCGTACGTGGAACGTCGTGTCTCAGTTCATTTTGATCAATGTGCGGCATTTTCGCCTACGTTGGGGATCGACAGGCTCTTCCTTGTCTTATCAAGGCGCTTAAACGCTTGGAGTACAGAGGTTACGATTCAGCAGGTGTGGGAATCCATAATGGTAAGGAGTTGAAGATCGCCAAGAAGGTCGGCAAGGTCGCTAACCTCGAGGCTTACTGTGGTGGTGTCAACAACCCGGAGTACGCCGGTACCATGGGTATTGCTCATACTCGTTGGGCTACCCATGGCGCTCCCACCGACGCCAACGCTCATCCTCACTTCACCGAGGATCACAAGGTTGCTGTGGTCCATAATGGTATCATCGAGAACTACGCCAGTCTTCGTGAGGAGCTTATCAGTAAAGGGTATCATTTCACCTCAGAGACTGACACTGAGCTCCTCGCTCACTTGGTCGCTGATATTCGTAAGCAGATGGGTCCCGAGCCCTCATGGTCTGTGGTTGTTTCCTGCGCATTGGCGAACGTCACTGGTACTTACGGTGTTGTCTTCACCTTCGAGGATGAGCCTGATCTATTGATCGGTGCTCGCAAGGGTTCTCCTCTTATCTTGGGTGTTGGCGATGGCGAGTACATGCTTGCCTCCGATGCCTCTGCGGTTGTCGAGTACACTAAGGATGTTGTCTACATTCGTGATGGTGAGCTTGTTGAGGTCCGCAGATCCGGATACCGTGTGAGGAACATGGCCGTGATCAGCGAGCGTCGCATGTCGGTTGATGAGGATATCGACCACAACCCGTTGGTAGAATTGGAGTTATCTCTCGAGCAGATCGAGAAAGGCGGTTATCCTCACTTCATGCTCAAGGAGATCATGGATCAAGCTAAATGCCTGGAGAACTCTTGTCGCGGTCGACTTTATCGGTTGAGTGAGGCAACTGGTATACCAGCGGATTCCATTTCTAAGAAGTGGGGCATCCGTTTGGGTGGTCTAGATGTTACTATAGATGGGAAGAATCGTACGGCGTTGGAGACCATCGCTAGTGCCAGTCGCATCATCATATGTGCTTGTGGTACTTCGTGGCACTCCGGCCTCATTGGAGAGTACCTTATTGAACAGCTGGCTCGTAT